ATCCTGAGTTTCCTATGAATCATGAAGTTTTTGGCTTGATGCAGGCTCGCATCCAGCAAACGCAAAATTCGGTGGGCCCACTTTTTTTGGTCGACGACTATGGCGTCTGCACTCAAAACAAAACGATTGCTTTGCAGCCAAGGATAACCTCTGCACTGGTGGATACCCGAAAGAAGGGCTCTGGAACAACTGAAAGCACAATACTTTGTTTATCCGAGAGCCAATCGGAATGGTGTTTGGGCAGTGATTTCCGTCAGCTACCACCCATATGCACCGCTCACGGTGAAAACATGGCCCAATACCCGTTGTAGGTGGGAAGGATTCCAGGCCATGATCAGGAAATCAAATTCACATGTGTTCGGGGTAATGTGAGATTCGTGGTGTATTCTGCTGGTGAAGAGATGTATTCTCGAGGGGGTACCTGTGACCATGTAGGCATAGTGCAATATATGGATGTTTGAGAAAGCAGTGGTGAAGCAATTCATCTTGCTAGGTCCCTATTACGTGCCTGAGGAATGAAGTCTGAACTTAGTTGGCCACCGCATTCCTGAAAAGAGGTTGTTCATTTCTGGGAGCGGTGGTCGCATTTTATAGAATCATGCACGAAGTCGCGAATAAAATCCCGCGTAGTTGAACCTAGGTTCATACTACGGCCCGTATCGATTGCTTCAGATGGTGTCGACTTCGAATATGAGACGTTGAGTATCAGCTACGGAACACAATGTATTGCTGGGACATTTCACTGCCTCATGAGATATCAATTCCACGGGTTTTCATCAGCAAAGCCATGGATATAGCATTCTTTACATCAAATGATCTTTACAGCAAATGATTTCATAGCTTCTTGCCCATGTGGTATCAAGCTCTCCATTCAGCTTCCCAATCTTGTCCGAAATCGCCCGACCACAGATCCTGAACCTCATCGCGGGTGTCCTCGGTGACGTCTTCCCATTCTCCGTTCATCATTTCTAGCATACCAGCGTCTACAATGTCGAACTCATGACCAGCCCAGTCACCTTTGGCCAGATATGCTCCTCCTGGAATGCCGGTTGAACTGTCAGACGACCAACAGATACGCATCAGAACAATGTGGCCAAGGGTGATTCCACATTGCAACTTGTCCTCTGAGACATATTGACGGGTAGTCAAGTTCCTTAGAACTCGATGGTTGAGATTGGCAGATTCTTCCACGGCCGCGAGAGTCGCTGCTTCCTCTTCTTCGTAAGACCAATGTTCAAACTTTTCCTGAACGACACCGTAGCTGAGAGGCATTGATACTGCATCGCTCTCAGCGCCAACGAGGTGTAGGTTGTCTTGTTGAATCTTGGCAGGGAGATCGTCTGGATTTAAGTAATCCCCAATACAGATGAGCCGGGTGACAGCCCACTCGTTTTCAATCAGGTCACACAGAATGTCGGGCCACGATGAAAAGAGCAACTCTGATAGCTTTCCACCAAAGTGCTGTGTTGTGTACTCGCATCTGGATGGAGAAACCACCAGCCAGTATTGGCCCATGGTTCGTTTCTTAAAATGAAAGGATAGGATGGAATCCCTAGATTGAGGAGTGGGGCCGTTTTTGTAACAGGTTAGAGCAAAGCTGAATGCTCCAGAGATGTTGATATTGGATGCAACGGAAAGGCGGTAGTTGTGAAAAGGATGAACTTGTAATATGGCCTGTCTGGCGAAGCGCTTGACCTTTATATGTTGGTCACGACTCCTCAGTGGTACCTTTCGCTGAATAGCTCCTGGGAATGCCCGAGAAAGCTCCCGAATACAGCACGTCGGTCGTGTGGATCATATGTGACATTTCATGGACTCCTGAGTCTGACTTCTACGCGATCTGGTCAAAAACGCACAATGTTTGGCTAGTAACCAAGTACCGAAGCTACTATACATGCTTGAAATCTGACACATACTTCTGAGCTCCGCGGAACCTTGAAGACCCTGAGCTGCCTATATCTCTAGAACCGGCACTTGTTGGAATGTCATGGGGCTGGTCAGGGAGTTTTGGTATGAGGCAATGCATATGAACAAAGCCACCCCATCGAAAATAGCCCCGAGATGTCTATACAGACAACCATGTTGATTTCCAATAAACATGGCTTCTTCTTGTATCTAAAGCCTCATATGTCCTTGTACAACAGAACAACACAATTTATAGGTGAACTACAATAATCACGCAGGTCACTAATAGAAGGCACATTCACCAATAGCCATCAACACCGCGAGATTGATCACCAGCACCATCATTGAATGGACTGCTAACAAAATGCTAAAATTGAAGCTGACTACGCTTTTTACTTTTATGGTGAAAGTGAGAATGAGCACATTATTTTTTAATGCTATTGCGTAGTTCATGGCGCAGCATCAAAGCATGGACAACGTCTTCGCTGGGTTAGAGAACCTCCGGAGTCTAGCTCCTGGGAACACCAAAACGACTCCTGGTATCGTGTCAATGGCCCCTGGAACCCCAATCTATCTTGGCACCCAATTCTCTAATCTAGCGCCATAAGCGTTGAAGAAAATCACAACCTACCTGCACTCCAAAATGTAGAGGCAACTCGCAATTTTGCCGACTATGCTACCAGCAACAGTTACCATTCCTTCTGCCCATGCATGATCATCGCAGTCTACAGCCACAACCTTAGCTTATTGTAGCGGTGATCTAGAATGAGATCTCTTCTCGCAGGCCACTGATCGGCCTATACCGGCGCATACTGCATCCCAATGCATTCTTCGACGCATCGACTGTTTCAAGAAAGCATTTCATGCAAGCAACCACGCAGACATGTAGGCAAGGAGCATATGGCAATGGCATATAAAGCTGGCGAGGGAACGCCGCAGAGAACGCCCAACAGCACCAACAATCCGAGAAAATTTCTACCTTTGAGATCGCATCAATGTCCACCACGATGCCTTGGAATCCGTTTCTTGTTTGTGAGATAGAAGTCAGCCCCAATGGCGGTCCTGGCTCTTGTTGTGGGATGACGAAGAAAGGCGCTTTGTGCAAAAACTCGATTAAATTTGAAGACACCAAATTAGGCCATCAAAAGCTTAACTCTCTCACCAGAGAGCCGTTCCAATTGTCAACATTGCAACCCAAGCTTTGCGCTATTGCCAAAGAATTCCTCTGCGCGAGATGGCACCGGCAACGGCAGGCCGAACAGGTTGGCCAGCAGTGGTATGAAGCAGCCGTCCGCAACCAGGCGCGAGTGCCTCATGACTCTAGAGTTGCCACTCCACCCATTGTGCATCCGCGCCAGCGTCAGATGTCGCCAGCCTCCAGCAGACGCCTGGAGGAATCAGACAACAGACAAGACCCGATGGTGCCCCTGTCGACTAGCCCTGCGCCAGTGCAATCAATCAATCCCTTTGTGACTGCCGAAATGCTGCGGACCAACAGTGTACCATGGCACGTTTCGCCGGATCAACCAGCTATCCTGACATCGGTCACTAATATCTGGGCGGGTGTCCAAGACTTGACGCTGCGGAGTCTCAACTTGAGTGAAGAAGTTGACAACATTCACTGTGTGTTTTGTTTGGTGGAGGACGAGGAACAAGCAACCGAATGCGTGATCCTGCGTTGCGGTCAATGCCGAGCGCAGGCCCATCTTTGCTGCGCGGAAGAGTGGTTGGAAAAGCGACGAACAGGCTTTGGCACGTCATGCTGTGTGTGGTAAGTATAGATGATTTCAGTTCTGCAATGTCGGGATGCTGATGAATGCAGTCGAAACGAAGGAAGTCTAGACGCTTTGATCCGTCCAGTCCGAGTCCCCTCGACAAGCGAACCATTAGCCGATAGAGAGCCTGTAATGGTCAGGAATTCAGCACCAAACGAGCCTCGTCAGAGTCAGTGGCCTCAGCGATCAATGGGATCCCCACGGGTGTCAGTCGAGCAGAGTGGGCCCCGTCGCTCAGCCAGAGTGGCAGGGGCTCATCTACCGCGAGACCCGTCTACCTCTGCACCGCTTCGCCGGTCGGCACGATTGAATTCTACTCAGCGTAATTGATCATCCTCCACAGCGAGTGAGAATAGGAGATTAGCGATGCAGCGGTTTGACGCACGGACAGCACGTGACCAGACCGCGGCATTCGAACCAGCAACAGAGAGAGATATGGAGTTTTGGGGCAACCTTAGCAACCGAATGAATGAATTCCTGATTGTTTGACTACGCGACTGATTCAGATTTGCAAGCACTAGATGTTAATGAGCCTCAAAAAATCATTGAGTGTTTGCTTCATCCTAGATGTCATAGGCTATAGCTCGAAGCCGAGTGCCAGTAGATACAAGTTGTCTGTACAGCCTACCTAACGGCGGCGGCTAGGCAATGCCGACAGCAAGTTCAGTCGAGCGTTGTGGTGCGCGGAGGCGGACCGTGTTGGCAGAAAACACAGCTCGCGGGGCGGCAGGCGAGTCTCGACAATTCTAAACGTACCGCCTCACGACGTAACAAAAGCCAGCTCATCTATATCAATCGAAGATTATTGCTAATCTAGCTCTGGGAACTAACAGATTGATCCTGGAAACACCAAAAGTGATTCTAGGAGCTGTTTCTTCTCTGGGAACCCGTCTTTAGCTCCTGGGGCCATTTCCTGTTTCCAGGAAACCGAGATTTACCCCTGGGATCTCCACTATATGATCCTGATTGAATACGAACTGGTTTTGGGAACACATTGGCTGGATCTGGGAGCTGTCGCGCTCCTGGGACCCTACTTCTGGATCCTAGAATCAATATTCTGCCTTCTGAGCTCGCGGAAAGCCCTCACAAGACACCTTCACCGGACCTGCGCACAAACCTGCGTAATTCGCTACTCCCGAAAAGGCAAAGCCATAACCCCAGGAACCGCAGTTGAGGTTTCAGGAGGTGATGAAATTGTCAACAGGAACATGACTTTGGTTCCCCGAGGTGAAAGTACTAGACCCCAGAAGCTGCGCTGGCGGCGATTACCATTTGCAGACTTTTCTCTTAGTCTTCACTGTCATTAAGCTCGCCAGTCTTTCAAGTATGTTTATTCAATCGCCGTTGAGTGGCCCGCATGTCTTTGTTTTCATTCTCATCAAGGTCATCCAAAAATCTATCGGCCTCACCTCCATGCCACTCAAGATAGGATGCTGTGGTACATCTGTCTTGTGAACCGAACAAAGGGGCAGATGTCGTACGCTTGAAGTTTTCTACAACTTTGTTACGAATCTTGTCTAGATATTCTTGAATGTTGGCGTTGTCCATTTTGGAGGTGCGGGAATCAAGTTCGTAATCAAGATCAAAGTACTGAGCTCCGCAAGCTCCATATCTGTATCTCTTAGTGAGCCGGACGCACTTCGTTTTGCCTTGATGACATATTATTCCTCCCCTGGTGTAGTCCATTCTTTTTTCCCCACACTTGGGGGAACATGGCCTCGCTTCTTGCAGCGGGAGTGTTTCTGTACAATCGACTGGATCGTGTGCATGGATGGGCACCTGCCCATTGAGAGGTCAGTAATTCCTGCCGCTCTGGACAGCCGATTTCCGATCAGCGTCAAATTGACCGGATCTTTGCCGACAGTATCGCAATTTGTGCCTTGTCGCTGATTTATCCTGAGGTCATGCGAGGATTACAAGGGTTATATTCATTGAATAATCAAGCAATCTACAAGAAACTTTTCGACTGTATGTCCAGTATGTCCCAAGAGAAAGGAAGGACATCATGACGTCATAATTACACCTCTCTGTCCATCTTCCTCCTTCTCCCCCCATCTCTCTCTTTAAAGCAAGAATTTAGTTTATGTTTCGATAAAACAACTTGTTTCTCATCATGGTCAATAAGAAGAAACCGTCTACTCAGAGAAGAATACTTCACAATCACTCGGGGCCCCCAACGTTCCCCAATGAGGTGAAGGACAAACGAATTCAAACAACCACGCCCGGAGAAGAGCTCCTTACTGCTTTATCAAGGTAGCTTGAGGCCTTTGCGAGGCCTTTGAAGGATACTGACTGGACCATAGAATGCGGATTGATCCAAAATACAGCGATCTGACCATTCTATGTTTGGATGAAGTCTATGCTGTGCACAAGTGTATAGTCTGTACTCGATCGGACTTTTTTGCTAAGGCTTGTGATGGTGGATTTCAGGTGAGATAGCAAGGTTGCGATAAAGGCACTAGACGTCTTTATCTAATGCAGAACAGGAAGCCTCTACGGATGAAATCATTTTACAAGAAGAGCCGGCTTTGGTCCGCGAGATGATTGAATATTTCTACACATTGGACTACCTAGTGAGTTACCCTGTCTTGCTGCCTAATCCAGTGCTTCTAATTCTAGCAAGGCTCCTTCTACCCCTGTCTCGGAAGATGTCTCTGCAAATGAAGTTGTTCCTTGTCAACAACTAGAGGGGAGAGAGGATCAAGGAAATGCTAGTCAACCTGATGACGCGGCTAGGAATCCATCAGCCGCGTTTGATTCTTTGTCCTTTCACATTCTGATGTATTCCCTCGCAGATCGAATGTTTATCGAAGGCTTAAAGGCTTTATCAAATCAAAAAGCTGAACGAGAGCTGATTGATAGTTTAGATGCAAACTCGTTTCCGGGCGCTATTTTTGAGATATATAACTCCACTCCTGCAGATGACCGAGGCCTACGAGATATGGCGGTGAGAGTGACTATGGATCACCTTAGAAAGTTGAGGAGGGGAAATGAAGAAGTCCCAGTGACTTTTGAGAATAGTTTGTTGAAAAGCGTTCCGCAATTTTGCTTTGACTTGCTCGTGGCAATTATGGATAAGGATATGTAAATCTCAGGTCTATGCCGGAAGTACTACTGTCGAGGTAGGGAATCATTTTTGGTCTGCAACTTTTGTGTCAGTCAATAATTCTTCCCAGCATGATTTCACGAAACTTATTCAGGCTTCTAGAAGGAATTCACTGAGGCTTCTTAGCCATTTGAAGCTCGGATGAGTATTGGCCGCTGTAAATGAAGAAAGTCCAAAGCTCTACGGACTACAAGTGGATCAAAGCCGGAGAGGGGCCTCTCTTCTGACGCTTCCTAGGAGCATACTCTAGTTGGCCGGAAAAGGGATAAGCAATCCAGTATTAAATGCTGCGTTACTTTATATTGCGCAGTTGGCTTAGGAAAAGCTGTACGAAAACTCTGTGCAGAGGAAAAGCTTGTTTACAGAAACTAGTGAAGTCGCTCTAATCTGGGTTTAGAATAAGGTATTTTTTTAATCTTGAACTAGCTTTCAGTGTCTCGATAAGCCTCATTGTCAAGCTAGAGCACAAATTTTACCACTCGCTGAAGGATAACATGCTTCCACATCTCATGATCATGTCCCTCGCACTTCACCATGCTTAGACGGGAAATGGAAGAGAACTGGGCGGCGAAGAATGGGCGAAGAAATACCAGCAAGAATTATCCCGGCACTGAAATTTTATTGATTACATAGCAAGCTAACAGAAAGCTCAAAAATCTTTGGTGAATGTGTTTAAGTCCTCGGTTCCTAGGAGTCATATCGTCCTGGAAATCGGTATCACTGTTTCTAAGCCTCTCGTAAATGTAGATCAAGTTGGAAACGGCGAAAGTCCTGCTCGTTGTGTGTCTCACTCCTAGAAGGGACTAATGTGAAATTCAATTAAAACCGCGAAACTTTTTGTTTTGATGCTAACGTTTGTCAGGTAGAATTTGACACTCCTTGTCATGGTGAAAAACTAAATCCATTGTATACACAAAGTGGTGATAAGCCTAATCTCTCTAATGCAGATTCGTTCTTCGCGTTCAATTCCTCAACGTAAACGAGACGGGTTTTAAGCACTCCACTCGAGCGGCCGTGACTTTGCGTGTAGCGTTTAATCTGAACCTGAGAAACGCCTACGCCTACTCCACCTGCAACAATCTGGTGATTGTCCCCTGTTGAGCCCCCTGTGGTTGTAGTGACGGTAGCCACGCTGAAGTCTTTCCTATGGCGACTAACATCGCTGCAAGGTATGGCGTAATGAGGAAGCGTCGATCTTAGCCAAGAGAACACCGGTATCCCCCTGTTCGCAATGGTTGCACTGCAGGCATCAGCACATTTATCGCTGGGGCAAGGAGACAGTAAGCAGTAAAATACACGACGCGTTTCATTGAAATATCGACCATATAAAAAGCAATTACCTACTTGACCTATCCGTATTTCTACTGGGGCAGGTTGCTCGGGAATATGATAGGTCAAACCGTGCTGCAGAGCGTTGCACGACAAATTACGGGGACACGCCCCATCAGCAACTCATGATGTCGGGAAACGGGATGAGGGGGCTCGTCTCGATTGACAATAGGGTATAACGCGGTACGGTATTTGGTGGCATGACCCAGACCCGGGCCGCCGTAAAGCGGTGATCGGTATTTTATTTTTCCTCTAGCCTGGTTTTTTTTTTTTTTTTTGACCCCCTTACCTACCCTAACTATCAAACTAGTACTTAAGTAGTTAGGTGAGTAGTCAGCAGCAGAGGGGCCGATTATTTCTTGATCCCTCAAAGCAAACGTCGTCACGTATCCGACACTGTACCCATAACACACAAAAGCAGACAATCATCGAGTATAAAAGCTCAGTCCTAGCCTTTTCTTTTCTGATCCTTGTACACGAATAATTCTCTCCCCTTTCCAAACAATCTTGGGGTTTTTTTACCCTCACCTCTACTCGATCAGCAGCTACGAGACCATGCCACAAACTCTAAGACCGCTCGACTACGGGTGCACGGATTGGCGGATCAGTAGCCAAATAGCCGCAGATCTGTACAGTTCTGGTATCAGGCTTTGGACAAAAGAAGATCTCGAAGACATAGAACAACAATTGCGCCAATCCTATGCGATGGAGCGATTTTCAGTCCGTCGAATCGATGGAAGCATAATCCAAATTTCCAATCCCATGTTCCAAGTACCAAATCCTATCTGGTAAGTGGGTATGGTATTCTGACTCAATTTCAGCCTGCAATCTAACTTTTCCTTAGGAAACCTCATGTCAAGTACCAAGAATATTGGCAACTTGTGAAAGCACAACCCAACGGCCCAATTGAAACTTACCTGTGCTCTTACATTGTGGATTGGAGCAATCAGACTGCACGAAACTTCCGAGAGCTTCTAGCACAACCTATGCAAGTCTTTGACGAGAAACACTTGTTGTGGCAGAATAGCAAGACCTGCAAGCACTTGGCAGCCTTGGTCCAAGATATACTCGGTACAAACACTGTGAAGAAAGTTCTCTGCTTCGGGCTCGGTGATTTTTGCCGCTCCGCGCCTGAATGGCTAAAAAGGCAGCACGGCTCTTGGGATGAGGACTCTGAGGTAAAAAATGTCATGGGTAGCATGATTCAGCATTCGATGGCTCTCACTATCGCTCAACTTTGTTGTGGCGATAAAAAATTGCCATTACTTGCTCAGGACCCAGATTATACAGAGGTTGCGGAAGAGATCCTGACCAAGAAGGAATTCAAAATTGTTGGAACTCACGGTGCAGGAGGATTCGCGGAAATTGACGAGGAATCGATCATAATATCACCCTTTGCTGCCGCCCCAGTCAAGCAGATTATCGCCGATCTTGCTCGGCCTGCGCTCATAATTTCCACTGGCTTTGAAGTCTTCAATGGCAATGAGTAAGTTCGCTTTTATCGATCCTCGAATTTGTCTAACCTTGGCACTTCACAGAAAACCATTGGCAGATGCTGAATCTCCGAGAACAAGGCAAATGTGGTTGGATTATGACGCCTATAGCCTTCCAAGCCATTCTGATGACGTTGAAATATGCTCTGCGCTGAAGGGACTACATTTGTATTGTAGGCGCCAGCAAACTCTGAATGCGCAAGGGGCCTGAGTTCATGTAATATTATATCTAGGCACGGTGGATCACAAACGATCGGAAAAATGAGATGAATTCAGAACGGAAATCTTATGAATATGTATAATTCTTGGTCTCTCCCATCCCTTATGTGCTGCGGTGGATTTCGTAAACTATTTCAGGCAGCCCACGGAGTCATCATTCAGGAGAATCCTTACGACTGGTGTCGGTCAAGCAGCTTCAGTAACAGTTCAAAAATTGCAGCTGTTCACTCTCCCGCCTCCGATCATTCAGTCCTTTTTCTTGGAGCAGTTGCAGCAAGAAGGACAAGCCCCACAATCTGCATGGACCATGCTCTTCTCCTGTCCGCAGGTGCAACATTTGATCGCGTCCACCGGATGGCTTATGTCGGATTCAGAAGTCATGATGAAGGCGGGGACTATACATGTATTAGTTGGGAGACCACTGATCCTCAATAGAGGGCACGAGTACTGTACTTGTGAGGACCCTAGCAATTAGGTATACGCTTGAGAGGAGCGGTTCAGGGAAGTGGTCTTTAGCAATCAAAGTTTGAGAATACAAATTCAATAGAGACCGGGCAGAGTAGGTAGCCTGACGACCAGGTATAATAAGAAACAAAGCCACGAGAGTGATTCTTGAGATACTCAAGAGACAATCGTTACTTTCGCGCTCTTTATACAACAAGAAAGCGGGGTAACAGACATGACAGGGTACCTGGGCATAACATCAGGCGAATTCATTATATTAAGTGTAGTCTTGTGAGCATCGGATTGTTTCTGACGGGTGCATACAGTATGGGATTACTGAGGCTGCCTCCTTGTTAACTCGAGGGTGACGGCCCCTACATTTGGCGCTAATCATGGCTCACGAGCACCAATCAATCGATATTACTGAGTGGCTTTGTTGATCATTAGGCTTCGGCGAAACCCCAATTGGGTCCAAGGTCCCCTATCCGTGCGCTGTGGATGTGAAAAGCATGGATCAGCCCCACCCAAGGCGTTTCCTCCATGTTCAGAGCATCTGTGAGATGATTGGCAGCGTGCATGCGGCCGAGTGCGTCGAATCTCATCACTTGAAGAGGGGAACCGTCTCATTTACCAGGTCAGTGAGGTTCTTAACCTACTGTGATCAATCACAATGCAACCCTTGGTTGACGGAGCTTTCGTGACCAACAATACTGAGACATATTGTTTCAGAGGTAGCTCTTCCTCTGGACCATCGTAATTATAAAATTCGATTAATCTGACAAACCATTAACACAAACAAGACATTTATGCACAGAACGTTAGTGAACTGAGCGGGGGAACCCTGTCAGTTGGGCCTGTGATAGCTCCAAAACATGGATGTGACAAACGATGCATGAGTGTAGTTCTATGTTTCCAAGAAACTTGTGATGGAGGCCTGGTATGGTGAAGCCCGCCGCAGCACATGATTATGAATTTGCGCACGGTCTTGGGTTTACTTCCTAAAATAGTTATGGCCAGTTTTGGTGCTATTTCCAAATTTGGTAACTAATCAATTTTCGAGAAATTTCCTATTCTGTATTCCGTACAATGTGCCTGTGCCTGCATGCATGAGACGAAGTCTCATGATCCCCATCATTGGCTATTGTTTTTGGGAGGCAGTGCCAGGGTGGGGAAAAGTGACTGAGCTGGCCAATCTCAGGGTTTTGGGCGCGGCACCGTCGCGGAGTCATCTCTAATGTGTGGTTTCCCCCGCACGAACCAAAGCAGATTCCTCCCCTTTCTGGCAAAATTGTCTCTTCGGCACGGGTATCCACAGTAAGACACCGACCATTCCAAACCCAGCTTTGGATCCCCCCTTTTTTGCTATTTCCAGAAGACTCGAAGCATAATCTACTCCCTGTCAGTTAGCATTGTAAATATCCGAATCACGGAGTAGTAGCTACATGTTTGGAATCATCAAAAACATACTCAACAGGGTCGGGATTTATCTTCTTGTCTTTTTTCCCGGAAACATTTAAGGTACTCTCTTGGTTCCGCCATGACCATTGCATTTGGTGCATATAGATGTGCCAACCATTCCCACGTCATTGCATTCAGAGCAAGGCATGTTTTCTTTTTCGACCTGTTGATTCAAGAGTAGAGGGAAAAGAGGGCGATGTTATCGTATGGGGGAGGGCGAAAGAGGGGATGTTGTAGTTACCGTAGAAGGAGGGGTCAAAGAAAGGAAGAGGATATTTATAGCCCCCCAGTTCCGATACCCAAACTAGTTGCGTGGCAAACCCCGACAGTGGCCAGGGCTCCAGATGACCCCGCCCAACTAGGCTTGTACACATTTCGACTCTCCACGTACCCAACGCGATGCCGAATTCTCCTCGTTTTGTTGCAGTCGATCCAAGCCAGAGAAAGAAGCAAAGGGTGAATGCACCGCAATGCCAGACTTGTTTTAAATCATTCGGAACACAACAAGAACTCCGCGACCATATCGCAGACTATCAGGCCAGTAAAGTCGTGACTCTCCAATTTATCCGCTGACGCGCCATTATAGTTGGAATTCCAGCTATTGACCGCACGTCTACTTGAGGTCCAGGCACACTTGCCTCACAAACACCAAAATCCCGGAATCGACGGTCTACGGACATATAATAACATAGCGGATTCGATTGCCAGTGACTGGGACACCGAGCAGGAAATTGACGACAGCAGTAGCCTTGCAAACAATGGATACGATAACGATGACAGTGATGATGGCAATCTTAGCGATCAAGATGGCGAGCTCACCTCAAGAAAATGCCCTCATTCAAGATGCCGTCACAAAGGGCGCTTCCTGAACCGAGCGGGCCTTGAGCGGCATTTCCAGTCACGTACGCGACTTTGACGAATCTACCATATTTGGATGCTAATGATACATTCCAGATGTTCAATGTCATGAAATATGCATCTACTGTCGCCAGTTAGTTCAACACACACAACAATACATACGACACGCATGCCGCACGAGGCAAAAGGCCAACGACGAAGCGAGAGAGTTATACAGAAAAGAGCGGTGTGCTCAACTCAAGAGAATATCTATCGATAAACTAAACTTGATGCTTGCAAGTGCAAAGCACCGAAGTAGACGGGTCAATAAACGAGGCACTGAATGCTGTGACGAACAAACAACCAGGCCTCGTAAACTGCGGAAGGGAAATGCAACGCTTGAGAGAGAGAATGTTGTGGACAGTGAAGGGTTTGACGGTATTAACCCTCTGCTTTCTAATCGAATAAATATTAACAACTTCAGCAGGACGTTTGAATGCAGGAGAGGCTCTGCAAGTACCGTTCATCGCGCCACGTAATCTGCATCCGCTCACATATCCATCGAATTCATCGAACGAGAACTTCGCATCCAAAAACCCCTCTGTTGGGTATATGCAACGATCCTACGACACCCTCGTACCCCAACCGTACGCGCCAATATTTGATGATATCACCATCACACCATGCTATGATTTGGTACAAGAGTCATATGCATTTTCATCAACGCTGCAGAATGCAACTTTTCTAACAGACTCCCATGATGATCAGAGCGCTTTGCCAATTTCTGAGGCAAGAATGAGTTAATCAGGAGGCGCGCTGACGCCCATTGCAACAGAATCATGTTTGCCATCGAAGTATGTCACGTTCATGCCAAAATTGGGTCCTTCCATGTTGCTGACTATTGTTTGGAGGGACTTGGGAACCTTCATCGGAGCCCACCATTTTTTCAACACATCCTCTGAGGCGACTCCAAATGTAATAGCACTTCCTTCCAATACTTCGACAAAAAGGCGGGTATCACGGATAGAACTATTTTAGGAAGATCAGATATATGACACTGAGATAACTCAAAACTCCACTTACAATCCTCCATCCTCAAATATAACGTGAACAGGCTCAAGGCCGAGCCTTGTGAGCGCCACACGTGGTGCTCTCCACAAATTATTGTCTCCCTTAATGGTAGTGACCTGCTGAATGTGTGAACCTTTCCAAAATGTAACCTTCGAACCCTTCTTCCAAAATTGTATCAGGAGAGACTCGGTATTTGAGGATAGATCGCTCTGCCGAAAGGCATAATCGCCGGGCGTGGCACCGAAAGTTCGATAAAGCCCCAGTCCAAACCACTGGAAACAATGATCAAGGACCTGTCGCTTGCGCTTTCCAAAAATCAGCCTTCTTATAAAGGGTAATCGGTCGTATGGGAAATACCGGGTCGTCAAGGACATTCGTTTTGTAGAATTGCAACCCTGCCTCTGATGCGAAAGGTATGCAGTTTGTTTCCATCTCTTCGATTTGTTGCCCTGTCTCTGCATCTTTCTCAAATACGTATCCATCTTTGACGAATTCATCATTGCAGGTTAAATTCGACGTCGAACCGATAGCATCCATCGACATGAAATGCGAAAACCTGTGTTTGATTAGTAGGTTCCATCGCGAGAGGGGTTGCGTGTCAGGAGGTGGGGTCGGGAAATACAACTTCCGTTCCGAAAAGCATGCTACGTTGACCACTTCAATTCGAACGCTTTTTACACTATTCCTCATTTGGAGTAAGCACGAATTAGTTGACTTTCCTTATCAAGCCAAATCACAGATCTGAACCATAACTGAGTTGGGTATGGACCACGAATCTGTGTTTAGCCTTACACTATGTTGTGCTATGTGCTTGATTTGAGCCTGCCAGGGAGAGCCGTCTACTCCATAGCGTGATGTGATTGGTTTATCAACATCCATAACTTGTGCCGAGATTGCATAAATGCCATATTTCGTTGTATTCAACTTGCAAGCGCTATACCCTCTGTATCTTGCCCAAGCAGGATACGAAAGGAAATCTGCTCCAAAATAGGTGAGGATTCTCCCTCTCATGCATATTAGTAGGTCTAGGCCTGTGGATGCAAACTGTTAGAGCGAATCGGACGAATCTTTTCATTGAGCGCAAATATCCCCAGAGCATTCACTTCAGCTTTCGTATCTTTGTCCTACGAACGAGAGATCGATGGCTGAAGTAGGGCGATAATGATTTCAAAGTTGCAGGGGCTGGCGACGAAGTTATAAATGGGCGCAAACTCTCTCGTTTTTGGAATTCTTTGATTGTATTGGCATCAGTGTTTGACCTTGCTGATTGGTTATTTCCTCCTTATTTTAACAACAAATTCAATCGCTGTTGGATTAAACAACATGGCACCTATCCAGAGTAGCCCAAGTCTGCCTTTCTCGAAGCACAACGTTGCATTGAAAGAGACCTCCCACCACCAAGGCCTGACGCCGCCCGATAACCCAACGAAGGGGTCGGCTTCAGTTCAAGCTACCGTGAAGGATCTGAAGCATCTCTTTGGAACGTTTCTTGAAAAGGTGCTCGATCTTACCAACCAAGTACCTCCAAACACTCCTGTCTCCCAGGACCGATCCCGATCAGGCCTTGACATAGGTCGACTGAAGCGGTTGATGGTCAAGCTCACCCACGATGAAAGTGCGTCAGCTGAACTTTCCTTGGCAACTAAGCCTGCTCGCTCTTCTTCTGCCAGCAATGAACAGGAAGAGAATGTTCAGGCGGTAGGCGAGATTGATCTCGAAAGTCCGATTTGTACCACACCGGATGATTTCAAGTCGTTTGAGAAATGGGCATCAAAATCCCAATCCAAAACGGTTATGGAAACGTATGAGCCACCAGTCAACCACCCCTTCCACTTTTTCAGATAGCTGACACTGGTCTAGCTGGGACAAAGAAACATGTAGATACAAGATTGCCGAGCCAACGGAGACTAGCAACGACCTGGACGACTATACTATGTATGCATTTGTTGTCCGTGAACGTGTTGGTAGGTAACACCTTTGCACACCGGACAGAAAACCTACTAATAGTATGATCAGACCGGACGTCCAAGGAGATAGTGTCGTTCATAGACATCAAGTCGGAAGGCCTATGCGACATCCTGCGAGACGTGCTGCACGACATCAAAGCCGTTAGCCTGATGGAGGACAAGCCATCGGTAATTGAGATAGCATTATCATCAAGGAGCACGCTGACGTAGATTTAGATCGAGCAAAACGTCCTTTTCCATTTCCTTCCAGAGCTCGACGGATATGCGGAGGACATGGACATCAATTCGGACCATGAGTTGGCACATGCGGAGCATCTCCTCTTGCTCATCGACCACCTCAAGCACGCATATGCGTCTACTTTGCAGCGTCTCGAATCAATGTTGCAGCACGGTCATATTACATATGACCTTCTTTGGGCGCTTTTCAAGCCTGGTTGCCATGTTTATACCACATGCATTGGCACAAAAGAGCCGCGATGTGTCGTATTCGACGCGGGCGAAGAGATGACACAAAATGACGAGACGTGGTTGAATCTCGAGTGCCGATTCCTTGATTATGACGGAGTCAAGTTCGGCGAGGCCGGAATATTTCTGCGTGTTGCAAAGTTTCGGGGGTCAAAGCTGATCGAAACTATTGAAGCCTTCCCTCTCCACCACCATCCAAATCACGAGCAAGTCCGGAAAGATTTGATCGAGAGGGGTCAAAAGTTTCGAGATTTGGCCGGCTCACACGTTCGGCACTGTAAAGGCAGCGCATTCTTTATGAACAAGGGGAAGGCTGTCAAAGTCAAAATCAACAGTCGAGTGGCAGTGGACGCCGCGTTTTTCTATGAAATGCAGCCCAACTACTCCCGACCGTCCCTCCGCGACATTGGAGTCAAGGACAAGGGTGAAATTGCAGTCTTTGACATAGGTGCAATTATCACGGCGGACCGTGAGCGAGAGAAGGAGAGAGTGCGAGGAGACGGTGTGGAAGCACAAAAGCTGAGCGAGGCCGATTTATTGGTCGCCTGCTCAACAGTTTGCTGTTTCAGTTTTAAGGACAAAATGTTCTGTATGTGACATGGCTGACAATGTTTTGGTGTCTGGCTAATGTGATTCTAGTGGAGTGCGCAGTCAGTGCTCTTAGGGACGTGGACTGGTCACCTGAGTCGTTCGACTGCCTGAAGATCCCTTCAGAGACCAAGACCATTCTCTTGTCATTGGCGAAAACCCGCCTAGGGATGATACCGACGGTACCGTTCGACGACGTAATTGATGGAAAGGGCCAAGGGTTCAACATTCTTCTGAAGTATGTCGGCAAAGCGTATATGCTATCAAGTCTTCCCCACCTAACTTGTGCTAGTGGCCCACCGGGAGTCGGAAAGACTTTCACAGTTGAGGCGACCTCGGAGTATTTCAAGCTCCCCCTCTATTCGGTATGAACCATCCAGCCAGGCTGATTTTGGCGTCACTGATTTTTCCAGATATCCGCAGGAGAACTTGTTGTCAACCACGGAGATTCCAATGCGCTTGAGCAACAACTTGAAACAGTATTCAAGATCGCCAAACACTTTAATGCCGTGCTTCTCTTGGATGAGGCAGACGCGTTCATGGAGCAGCGTACATCTTACCACGATACCCATAATCGCCTTGTGACCATTTTCCTCCGAAAGCTGGAATATTATCAAGGAATTCTTTTCTTGACTTCTAATCGGGGTATCCAGTTTGATGACGCAATTATCAGCCGGATCCATTTGATCATTGAGTATGAGAATTTAACGAGAGAGTTTCGCAGAGATCTCTGGTCAACTTTTCTGTCGAAGGCATGTACTATGCAAGGACCTGCCATTGTTGAGGAGCACGAACTCCGACGATTGGAGACTTTAGCTCTGAATGGACGAGAGGTGGGTGTCCGAGTAGCACTGAACATCTCACTTGCTGACCAATCATGAACCAGATCAAAAACGTCGCAGCAATTGCACATGCTCTCGCAGAGGCCGACGTCAACCAGGTGAACTACAAATACTTGGACTTAGCTGCGAAATCGAATCAGAAATTTTCAAAGGAGTTTGGCAGAGAGAGGCCTGCTGATGGAATGTATGTCTAACAGCATACCTGAGAAAGTCATGTGGATAATCTCGTTCCTCAAGATAGTCGAGCGGTTGGGCGCTTATCGCAATATTTTCGGTTTCTACACGACAGTCTTAGCTAGGTATTGAAATTGAATGGACCTTTGCGATGCTTTCATAATGGTATATCATCGGAAAAAGCCTCAAGTTCGGAAGCTCGGCTCGCATCAAGATTCGGTGGTGTCGAAGCATATATGGAAAGGCATTTCGCCTCGAAATAAATGGATGACGACAGAAACGTGGATATCAAGAATAAGATCGCTAGTTTAACAGGTAAAAAGTGGATTTCCTTCTCACGACACCCAAAGAAGTTTTGCGTCTCCTGTCTCAGCTCGACATAGTCGTCGTTTTGCTGCCCCCGGTCGCGGCAGAGTCGGTCGACATTTCAAAGTAGAGCGGTGAAAGTCGATGATCAAAGCACGCCCAACCTCTTCACTCCAAAGGACATTGGCTCGCCTAAGGTCTTCATGTGTATTAACCCGAGGGCTTTGAGTTCCTTGTTCGATTTTTGAATCTAACGCTGTACTCCCTCCCCACAGGTATCACGAGTGATTTGAAGGTGTAGACGTAACTTCAACTGACGCAGTGGTCTATCGATCTGGGGCCGTCATCAGCAGACAGCAGTTGAGCTAGACAGGTTCGTTTTTCTGCTCTTCCCCGCCCCGACGCAATGACCATGCCGCATGTTGGCAGAGGTTGGTTCAAGAGCCCGAGGGCGCTTCAACCATTTCACTTCCTCCAGGTCAATGACAAACAAACGGCCACCCATTTCATCCCACAGCATATTGCGCCATTCACTGTCGCCATGGACAATTCCATGCGACCGAAGCACGGTCAGAGCTTTGTCGCGCTCGTGGTGAAAGAATCTGGAATTCTCATCGTTGATGACATGCTGAAGCCGTTTTCCAGACCAGCTCAGTATCATCATCTGCGCCATTAATTCGCCATGGTACCAATATGAGACTCGTGGCGTAAATGTCCCAAGACAGACGGGAATCCGTTTTCCCTGCAGGCTCTTAAGAGAACGATAATTGTCTGCCTCTGCTTTAATGAGATGCTGCTTGTCCGCCGTGGTAGCCTTGATTACCACAGTGTATCCGTATAATAGAAGAGTCGCTTTGATGAGGTAACCCGTCCGACCACAGACGTGAAGTTGTTCAAACCCATCGTTTCGGTTTTGGAAAAGTTGACGGTGAAGCCGGCGTGTGAACTCCTGCGGTCCCACGGAGTGACTCTGGCTACCGTGGAGTTTCCAGTTGGGGCATTCTTTATCCAAAGGACCTCGGTTGACCATACCGCGGATGCAGGCAATGGTGCAATATGGTCGCGTAGATTGCCCATATTTTTGAGAGGTCTGTTTGTTGTCCCGACCGGCTCGTCTACTTTCACTTTCTGTGGTCGATTGACGGTTGTTGCCTTCGCCACGGCTCGGCCTGCTGCGCGCCGCTGCTGCGATAGATGGCGAATGCGATTCTTCATCACTGCCGCTGCCTTCGGTCGACGAATGCTTCGGAGTAGACACGCCTGGTTGACAGCGAGCATGTGATCGAGTATTGTGTGTCTTTGGCTCTAGTTTCCAGTGCGAGGGTCGGTAATTGGAGGCTCGTGGATCTTTACGAAGTGTTTCGGGAATTCTTCTCAACACGTCTTGGTATTCAACCTCCCAGGTCTTTAGTTTGTCATGTGCCACATCATGCCATTCTTGAGATGGATCTTCGGCCGCTAGCGCTTGAAGGGTAAATGCAAGCACCTGACCGATGGCAGTCCGGTGGAGGCGCCAATCATCGTCCACCTGCACATCCTGATTCGGGATACACAAGAAATATTGAACAACTGTGGGGTCATCCTTCGGGATATGAAGGAAAACAAAAGCCTCCCCCGTGCAGATGTAGCCGTATTGGACCCCACTGTCGATCATATATGAGAATATCCGAGTGACCACAGCAGCGACGAGGTAGGTGGCATAAAACTCAAACGTGTCCCCTTCCTGGCCAATGACATCGCTCGCTAGGTCCATTTGGTGTAGATCCGCCACCAATTCGGGGATTGTCACCTTGTGCGGCGCTTTGAACTCTACTGCATACACTGGTTTTTGTCACTCGTTGGCCACAACATGCACGCAGAACTGGTCCGCGCGGCGATTGCGTCTTCGTGTAGTGCCAGCGCTCTTCTGTCTCTGCGGCGCTCCTGTCCCCCTTCCTCTGCCTCTCTTATGCCTTGTGTTCGCTGGTCGCTGGGGTGTCCGTGCGTCTTGAAGGTTCATTTGCTCCAGGCTCTTCTCCAGCGAGGTTTCCGATGGGTTTGCGCGGTCGTAGAAGGTGACTCGGCCTTGAATTCCAAACTCATTTCGAAGGGGCTCATCATCTTGTAAAGCCATAATGACCCTTTCGACTAAGTTATCCACCGTATCTCGCTCAAAATTTCGAAGAGACGCTTCCGAATAGATCGGCCTGTTCTGGATATTCGTAAGGACATAATCGATTTGGGTATCAGAAGGGAATAGTGGGCGCGAGGTGAAACCATCTGCGCGGTCGAATTTCCTCCAGATTTGCTCTTGGGGTTGAGGGAAGTCAAGCCAAGGGACAATGCGCTTCGGATAAAGTCGGTTGACGGGGTCAGTCGCATCGCTCTGGGTCGTGAGAGTCGCATCCGTTTCGACTCGGATCGCTTGAGACAGAGAGTTGTGGCAGTGATCGAGGAGGCGGAATAGTGTGTTGGGTTCGAGTCGCCGTTCAGCCTCTCCCTGGAGGCGCTCTGCTTCTTCTCGCGCCTGTTTCTCTTCTCCTTCACGGCGCTCTGCGTCTTCTCGCGCTTTCTTCTCTTCCTCAAGCTGACGTCGTAGCTTAGCGATTGTTTCCTCTATTCCTTATTGAATCAGTATTAAGCAAAAATTTGAATGATGCAAATTGAAGTCAACGGAGTAGGAGGTTCGTTGTCTGGCGCGGGGGAGTGGCCCGTCAGGGCGAAATGCACCCAGATGTTTACCAGCTTACTCACCCCCTTGGCTCGAGTCAATGTTAGTATGAAAGTGAGAAAGTGGGTCGGTTTGTTTGGGTTTCATATGTTTGTACTGTTTGTATTCATTAGTCAGAGCTCCCTACGTAAATTGTGTCGACTTTCGAGCGGGACAGTACGGACTAGTACAGCAAAGTACTTGAGAGTGTGATTCTTGATACTATAGTAGGTGCAGAATAAAAGGGGTTTGGGCTTACTAAGCCTCACAAACACAGGCACAAATCAGGCATACATGATAGCTGAATATCTCCAAGCGCACTAGTAAGAATGTGGTCCACTATACTTGACAAATTGGTTCAGGGATACAGCAATACAGAGTTGTTTTCACTTTCTGATTGGTGTCCCTATCCGACAGCCAGCTTCATGCCTCAGGCGCCAAAGGCACCAATAGTTACGCTTTGGCCTCGACGTTCACAGTCTTTTTGATTTCTGGAATATACGTCGACTCAATAGTTTCGGATTGCCTAGACCAGTCTCGTTAGTAGATAGAAAAATTCAGCCTTACTTCAAATTCCTTAGCAAATACAGTCACCGTTCTGAGGTCATTATCTCGATTACTCGACTCGCGAGACCCCGTTTTCCATTCTTCAATAAAAATCATCTTGCTTGCGAAGGCTATATAATGTTATCTAATGTGAGTCAGGCATCAGATGGGACTATCGATCAGCGAAAGTTTTTCTAATATGGAAAGAATAGGCTTACCTCGCTCGTTCTCCTTCCAATCCGCGAAACACGCTTCGGTATGCTTTGAGTTTGGGGGATTAGACTTCACGCAGTCACGCGCCAATGGACGTCATGGAAAGCAAAGAGACGTACCTTACCTGTCTGGGGACCTGAATCTCTCATCATGAATAGGCTCTATTGTATGAGTGAGACATATTGAGCTTCCTTCACAGACAAAATCCGCGACGGTGATTTACTAAAGAACGCTATGAGAGCTGACGTCTGAGGAGGTATTTATATAGTCGTTGAGTTCCCAGGTTGGGGCGGGCGTTGATGGCAAAGCTGATGGGATGATTACTCGGCAAAAAAAAAAAAAAAAAAAAAAAACAACTCTGTTCACCATCAGTCGAAACATGTTGGAACACCCTCAAGTTAAATCTGCCGCACTGTATGCCTCATTTTCAATACCCCTGCGTATAATGCATAATAGACGCATTGAAAGTGCCCCACTGTGAGGGTCTCACGTATCCGTAGATGAGTGATCAATATTAAAGAAAGCTATAGTCGACTCTAGATACAAGACGTAGCGCGAGGAAGCAAAAGGAACGGGCTTCCTCGCGTTCAGGGGAACCCATATGCACCATGTGGGTCCCGCAGATCATTTCTCCAAACATCCTGTATACTTCAGGTATATCCCTGACACGCCACCAGGAACAACTTTGGTGTTCCCAGGAGCTAGACTTGAGAGATTCTCCACGAACATTGTTGTCAAGGCTTTGATGCTCCCGTGTGATTGCTACGCACCTCTCAACGGAGCCACAGGCTACGCTCCTAGCGGACCGTCGGATTTCGCCGAGGCGAGTATATAAAGGCCTCTTATATCCAACTTCACAACTCTTGCCTTATCTGCGCCCACACTTCATTTCCTTCTAGCTCCAATCCACTGTCCAGTCATGCTCTGTTTCAATCCCTTTTTACCGTGCTTACCGATGAGCTAATACATTATAGCCGAACATCAGAGACCTGCCCAACGAGCTTTTGCTGTGGATTGTGTCGCATTTGGATGGTAGTGCGATGTTCGCCCTTGCAAAGTCGTGCAAAGACCTTGATTTTAGACTCCAGCCCAGCATCTGGAGATATAACATCAAATTCCAGAACAGCAATCTATTGCACCTGGCCGTCAAAGACGACAATGTTGATCTTGCGGCGGTTTTGCTCCAGCACAATGCCAACATCAATGCCTTTTACCGAGGGAAAACACCGTTGATGAGGGCGTTTCAATACTCTTCCGCTGCAATGCGTGAGCTGCTGCTCAATCGTCGAGAGCTAGACATCAACATTCCTAATCAAGCGCGCGAAACTGCGCTGTGGTATGCCATTCACTATGGAAATTACTCCATGGCCAAGAGACTTTTAGAACAACCCAAACTCAGAGTGGACATCAAACACAAACACGGCCGAACGGCGCTTCACCTAGCGGTCTTCGCTGGCAGGATAGAGTTCGTACATCTTCTGCTGTCAAGAGGTAGCAACCCTGATCTACAGGATGATTCAGGCGACTCGCCGTGGGCCTGGGCACGTCAGATTAATAGACCCGTGATGAAAATGATTCTTTCCAACGACCCCGACTCCGACTTACTTCTTGGAACTCAATCATCACGGGACGCTCCGCTACCGCTGCATCAAGCAGTCGCCCATGGTTCTGTAGCCGCTGTCCGGCGGCTTCTAAGACGAAAAGGCCTGGCGCTAGACACCCAGGACTGGAAAGGTTACACGCCGATCTATCTCGCTATCGAATGCAATCGCCCTGAAGTGGTCGATTTGCTTCTGAGTCACCCGCGTGCCAATGTGAACTGCACAGGCAAAGATGGAAATACGCCGCTTTGGCTTTCTACTTACTCGCCTTCCTATGAGATAACCGAAAGGCTGTTGGCCGAAAAGGACATCGACGTTAATCTTATTGGGGGCTGTAGAAGATTCGAAATGCCGTCTACATCTCTACATCACGCCGCGACCAGATTTGATACCGTGCTTCTACGACGACTGCTTGCGGTGCCAGAGATCGATCCGAATCTCTGCGTTGCAGGTCACTCTCCAATCTCCATTGCCGCATCCCGCGGATGCGTGAGCACGGTTGCTTGTCTGCTGGGTATGGGGAGCTTGGAGATTAATGGGAGGGGCTTCATAGATCCTCCAATCTGTCAAGCGGCTGCACACGGCCATCATGGTGTGGTCAGGCTATTAGTGCAACAAGGCACACGTCTGATCATCAATGAAAGCACAATCGTATCTCACGACACTGCACTCTGCATTGCTGCCCGTGGTGGTGACTTGGAGATGGTCCAGACACTATTACTTCATGATCAAATTGATGTCAACCTTCGGAATGAATATTTTGAGGATTTATTGATGTTGGCAGTCAAGGATGGTCATTCCTCGATTGTTAATGCTCTTTTGGCAAACACCGGACTCAAAAGCTTCAGTTTGAAGAGATCGCTTGAGCTAGCAAGAGACGACTGCATCCAGAGGGCTATTCAGAATAGAATAGAAGCCGACAACTCTCGTCCAACATTGTTAAGGCGGTCTCCGAGGATGAAGTTTGGTGGTTTGTACAGTCAGCGACATCCACACCTGTCGTGATGCAATACCAGAAGGCTGCTCTCAGCATCACTTGCCAAGAAGACTGGGAATTCATTATGTGTATCTCCCCGCTGAACAGCTTTATTTACAGTAATGCAACGTTCAGCTTCAACGATGTCTAGCTGTTTTATACCATCCAATCCATCAAAACTGCACTTGCAAACTATCATGAGGAAATATTTCCCACAAGCTTTTGTCTCAAGGCTTGGTCTGTTGCCCATTTCCACGTTAAATTGAGTAACTAGTGGTGAACAGCAGGTGAGATCGAGCTCAACAGTTGAGGTAAACGTTGAGGGACCGTTCATTGACTCTTTTAAAGACGATCGAACTCAGACCGGAACGGCCATGGGTAGCAATGGCAGCAGGCTCAGAGTGGCTTTTGCCAGTCTATAAAAGACTCTCGAGCACAACGTCTCTTGCATTTCATTCCAGATGCCACGATGGGCCATCCGACTTCACCTTCCCCGTGTCACCGACCGGCCAAGACACATCGTCGGATTTCCCACGACGCACAAGATGAGAACCAGGCGCAAAGCCACCAACAACAATATTCAGATGGTGCAGCCATCGAGGCTGAGGTTAGTCAGGCCCTCTTCGAATGCAAACGAACGAGACCACTAATACTGCATAGGTTCCAGTGCGCACACGCGGTTCCCTTACGGCCGAGTTCATGACACTTCTACACTACAACGACGCCCTGGCTACACCAGCCCTCAAGCTGCTCGACCTGTACTTTTGCATGTGGGAATGCTACGTCGTCAAATCTGCCGAAAAAATGCGACTTGAGGAAGAGCAGCGACAACTTCAAGACTTAAATGAGTGGCTAGCAAGCGACAGCGATATCCTTCTACAGCTCTGCGATGAGCAGGCGTTGATACGGTGGGATCAAAAGCGAGCAGTTCAAGCCCTTTGTAATGGCGTGGTTTCATCATTGCAAGCGAGCGATACTCAAGCCTATCACGCTGATGGGCCTCGATGAGGTCTCAGTGTTGTCAGGCGCTCGTCGACGATAACGACATCTGAATAGTTCTGCTATCTATTTGGCTTCTGTCCGAAATATCATTTCTTTCCTTAGAGGCCCATACAACCGCCGGTGAAGTTCCGTTGAGGGTTTGGTGACGGGTGTCAACGTTTCACGGCTGTTGATAGACCAAGCGTTTGGTTTTCAAACAAGGTAGCATCTGGCCACCAAGTCCTCCTGGTTTGCCATAAACTTGCGTTATCAAGATAAATAAATTACCTGCTTACCCTGCGGCATTCTGTCCTTCCCAACCATCGTCAAATTATATTTTTTACGTTTCTGTAAATTTCCACCAGCCTTCGACGGCGAGTCTTGAACAAGAATGCAAAAATCGAAGAAGAATGGTCTGTACCCGTTGTTTCAGTGGTTGGCTTGTGCTAAAATTGGTAGACTGTGATTTGGATTTCGACCTTCACGCCATCTGGCAAGACTCCTCTGGCATACCGATGCCGCCGCCCTGTCTGGCCACCGCCCCCGGTAAGGCTCGACATATTTCCTCGGATGAAGGTGAACCTGCAGGATATGAGACTCAAGGTTCTTCCGTGATCGAATGCTTTTTGCACCCCACTTACGACAAGCTGCCGGCCTTCAAGTGGATGGGTCCAGATCCTCTGTCCATGTCTACTCAGGCTAGCGACATGTTCTTCTACATGTCAGCGTTCGCTTTCCCTATAGAAGTGCACTGGATAGAGTTTCGACTAGTGCGATTTGACCGGAAAACTGGCGAGAGGAGAGGAGAGCGCTTGTTCATCCTACCCAGAATTGAAACGGCCCTGGGGAATCTCTGTCGGGTACGCGAACAGTTGCTAGACACGATCGCCCGGCCTATAGGCACTAGTTTCCGACTGTCCCTGTGGCCTCGTATGGAACCTCTATAATACTCGAGCCAATCGACACTTTCCCCGCTAGGTACGCTAGGTACGCTACCGACGACACTGTCCCTGAATCTGGAGTTTCTTTGTGCATAATATATTGGGTAATTACAATTGAAACTGGTCCAGAAGATGGGCGATTGTTCGCAGACACAAGGAATACAGGCTTCTTTTCATGGTGTGATTCTGCTTCAATTACAACGTCATTGTAGTATTTCTGCTTCTAAACAATGTGAAGGATAACACCGAATAGCCGATCCCTCACTCTCCTCTTGCATTGTCCGGCAACCCTGCCAGATCGAGTTTCCAAAGGTGGTTCCAGTCATCAAGTACGCTGACCAGTCGCTCCCGAGATGATTCCAGAGCCTGCTCAAAAAAGCACAGAGGGGCGTAAGATGGAAATGTACAGTCCTTCCCGAAACTCGTGTCACCACTTGCACTCTTTGATTCATTCTCAAATCCGAATTGCCAAGACAAGCTAGTCTATATGGGGAGTTTTCAAAGCGTCCATGTTAGTGGGGTATGTATTTTCTCTTACGCAGAGTAATCTGGATATACAGCGGGTGTTTTGACTTGTAAGTGATACGACCGACACCTCGATACCCCACTTTGGAAACCCTTCGTCCCCTGGTAGTGCGAGATCCTAATCAACAACGAGTGTTCACACTAAAAGGGTCTAAGTTAGCCCCATCAAAGAATGAGAAGTTTACTTAGCACATCATAGGCAGCAAAGAACAATCTGTATCACCAGTGGCAAACTCTACTGGCTGGAATAAACGGACATTGTCAAAAATCTCTTCTAATATGTATACGGACATTGGGTAGCGACAAAGTACCGCCAATTGAACGCAGACCACGAAAAATCAGTGCAATTGTGCTGAAGGCATTTCGTGATCACCTAGTCGAAGAGCATATCCTAACATCTTGATGTGATGGCACTTTCTCAAGTTCCTTATCTAGACGACGAAGTCCAGCATCAAAAGCGCTCTTGTATCAAAAAGCTGGTAAAAAATGATTGCGCGGGCCAAAGCGTAAAAAATGTAATCTCAAAATATATGATGAGGGTTCCCACTATATGTCTGATTTTAGAACGTACCACCTTGTGTATTTAATTGGATCTGGATATGATGAAAGGATAGAATTCAGGCGAACGAATTGTTCCTCACTAGGTATCGGCCTCCTCTGATCAGCCCTAGATACGTCACAGCATGACACTACCAAGAAGAAGTTCAACATGTCACCAACCTGGAGAAAAGAGGTGCTTCTCATTTTGCCAACTGTCCTAACAGATTTCGCTCGGCCCTGTATAACTTATCTGTAGTGGCCTCTCGTTTGGGACTAGTTACAGATATCCATATCCTGTTGAAAACAGTGTCCACTTTGCACAGCAAGAGAGTAACAGGAAGGTCCGAATCGCTCGTGAATACTAAGTTGGGTTTATTGCGAATACATGTGTGATTGTCATAGGATCTGCCAAGACGTATCAATTCTTGCGAGATGTCATGAATATAACCAGCCACAAGGAGGACCTGTGAAGTGATAAAATTGATGACGACTGGCGGTGGGAAAAAAGGCGGAGGCCATGGTGAATGGTACTCAATAAATTATTGAGTTTGATCAAAAGGCTCAGAGTCCGCCATAGGACGTCTCTTCGCCGCTTTGGTTGGGGTCGTAGAGTTGGACCGCTTTAAGGACAGTGTAATTGCGCCCACCTTTTGAACATTTTCACAATATCTTGATGGTTGTTAAAAAAGGCAGCTTGAACAGCGCTGTTCAAAGGGCCGCCCTGGGTTCTCAGATCCGCCCCGTTATCTAAGAGAAGTCTGACAATCTGTCGGTGGCCGTTTAAAGATGCGGCTTGCAGAGCGTTGCCGTATCTGCCACCCTGCTTGTTGGCATCTGCTCCGTTGTTTAAGAGAAGTTTGACAATCTCTTGATGGCCGTTGAAGGAGGCGGCGTAAAGAGCGTTGCCGTATTCGCCACCCTGCGCGTTGGCGTCTGCTCCGTTGTCTAAAAGAAGTTTGACAGTCTCTCGGTGGCCGTTTAGAGATGCGGCTTGCAAAGCGTTGCCGTATTCGCCACCCTGCTTGTTGGCATCTGCTCCGTTGTTTAAGAGAAGTTTGACAATCTCTTGATGGCCGTTGAAAGAAGCGGCTTGCAGAGCGTTGCCGTATTCGCCACCCTGCTCGTTAATATCTGCTCCGTTGTGTAAGAGAAGTTTGAAAATCTCTTGATGGCCGTTTAGAGATGCGGCCTGCAGAGCGTTGCCGTATGCGCCACCCTGCGCGTTGGCATCTGCTCCGTTGTCTAAGAGAAGTCGGATAATCTGTCGGTGGCCGCTAAGCGCGGCGCCTTGGAGAGCATTGCCGTATTCGCCACCCTGCTCGTTGGTATCTGCTCCGTTGTCTAGGAGAAGTTTGACAATCTCTTGATGACCGTTGAAAGAAGCGGCTTGCAGAGCGTTGCCATACTCGTTATTTAGCTTGTTGATATCTGCTTCTTTGTCCAAGAGAAGTTTAACAATTTCTTGATGACCGCTAAAAGAAGCGGCTTTAAGAGCGTTATTATATACGCCACCCTGCGCGTTGGCATCTGCCCCGTTGTCTAAGAGAAGTTTGATAATCTCATGATGGCCATTTAAGGAGGCTACCTGAAGAGCATTGCGATACTCGCCACTTTGCGCGTTAGCATCTGCTTCGCTGTCTAAGAGGATTTTGACAATCTCTTGATGGCCGTTTAGAGATGCGGCTTGCAGAGCATTGCCGTATACGCCACCCTGCGCATTAACATCTGCTCCGTTGTCTAAGAGGATTTTGACAATCTCTTGATGGCCGTTGAAAGAAGCGGCTTGCAGAGCGTTGCCGTATTCGCCACCCTGCTTGTTGGCATCTGCTCCGTTGTTTAAGAGAAGTTTGACAATCTCTTGATGGCCGTTGAAAGAAGCGGCTTGCAGAGCGTTGCCATACTCGTTATTTAGCTTGTTGATATCTGCTTCTTTGTCCAAGAGAAGTTTAACAATTTCTTGATGACCGCTAAAAGAAGCGGCTTTAAGAGCGTTATTATATACGCCACCCTGCGCGTTGGCATCTGCCCCGTTGTCTAAGAGAACTTTGACAATCTCTTGATGGCCGTTTAGAGATGCGGCTTGCAGAGCATTGCCGTATACGCCACCCTGCGCATTGGCGTCTGCTCCGTTGTCTAAGAGAAGTTTGATAATCTCATGATGGCCATTTAAGGAGGCTACCTGAAGAGCATTGCGATACTCGCCACTTTGCGCGTTAGCATCTGCTTCGCTGTCTAAGAGGATTTTGACAATCTCTTGATGGCCGTTTAGAGATGCGGCTTGCAGAGCATTGCCGTATACGCCACCCTGCGCATTAACATCTGCTCCGTTGTCTAAGAGGATTTTGACAATCTCTTGATGGCCGTTGAAAGAAGCGGCTTGCAGAGCGTTGCCGTATTCGCCACCCTGCTTGTTGGCATCTGCTCCGTTGTTTAAGAGAAGTTTGACAATCTCTTGATGGCCGTTGAAGGAGGCGGCTTGCAGAGCGTTGCCGTATGTGCCACCCTGCGCGTTGACATCCGATCTTCCACTGATTAGATCTCGTGCCGGCGCTAGGACGCCAATTAAACAAGCATAGTAGAGCTTAGAACCTTTCGGGGGACTGGGCTCTTGGATCCACGGATCATTAGCCAGGAACAACCGAGTCCATCGTTGGAAGGTCGCTTCCTCTCTAAGGAACCTGACAGTCAATCGAGCTATACCTTTTGAACCCTGAGCCAACGAAGCATGGCCTGCCAAAAGACTTGCGGCACACCTTGCCATCGGAAAATCGCGCTGGATTTCTGCGTGGCTACCTGTGATATCCGTAAGATAAGTCAAGCATGTGCTCGTAATGGAAGCACTGGCTGTTGTCATCTTGAATTCCTTCTCTTCTAGAAGGTACTCTTTGACGGAAAAATGGGAAAGGTGCAATTCTTTAACGGTAGCGTGAACGACCGTCACTAAACCGGGACAGTAATCCAAAATATCAATATCGCAAAAGAGTCGACGCTTGATGTCAAATCTTTGTGAGTCATTTTCGATCTGTGTGGCTATTACCTCTTTAGCCTCCGCCAGCTGAAGAGGTCGCTTAGAGTGCACTAGGAATTGCAGGAGGCGGATCGCGTCATTTTCCAGCTCCGTCGGTATTTTTTTAATCATGCGCCGGTATGTCTCATTTAGATCCAGCGGCAAGGATACGAGAGCTTTCTCCATAGCTGCCTCGTGACGACATCGAGCCAGGCTATCCAATTGACAGAACGCCCACCTAAACCTACGCGGGGTGTTAGCAAACCATCAGCATATCGATCGACGTACTAATATCTCACATCCCGTTGGCCCGGTCGCCAACCTTCCTACGGATATCCTCGAGAATATTCTGGGATAAGGGCTTCTCTGTAAACTCTCGCCGCTGAGAAAGCTGTGCTGTTACCCACGATCGGATATCGGAGTTGACAGATTGCGTCTCAAGTGGTAGGCAGCTTTCCTCTCCTATTAAAGCAGGAATATAGCGCTGAAACTCGGACTCAGGTCGACTTGTATAAAGTAGCTTGATATGGACCAATTCTGGCTTAGAGATCACGTCCTTGATCCACGTAAGTACATCATACCTTGTTGTTGATTCATCCAATGCGTCCAGAACTATGGAGACCTTTCTCTGGGCTACGAGCATTCTGAAAACAATGTCCGAGAGCGGCTTTGTCGCAGGCTGGCAGCTGCCATTCTGGTGTGCTTGAAACAGAGTATCAAGATGAATAGCAGAGCCGACGCCGTATTGGTAAAGTTGAAAAGCAAGCGACCGCAGCATGCCATCCCATGTCTGCTTTGTGGTGTCGCTAAAGTCAAAGAAGAAGTTGAGGATAAGACCGTCGTTTCCTCCCGTGAGATAGTCAAGCACAGTCGTACTAAGGACGGTCTTTCCACATCCTGCAAGCCCGTATAGCCATATTTGTCGACGCGACTCTAAGAGCCACGACTTCAAGACAGGGTTTTCCAGGAGCCACGCACCTGTCCCCTCATAACGGAGCGTCCTTGCGTGGTTGGCATTTGTAGACGGATCCGGGGGAGAAAGCCAGCGCCTGATTTTATCAACACGAAGATCAGATATGATGAAATCAGTTGCCGCTTTCGTCACAATTGTCGTCTGCTGCACGTGATCGATCTGTTGTTGAACTAATTGCATTCAAGATATATGTCAATTGAAATGTACTCCGGTCTCGTGTATTTGAAGGTCTTGCTAGTGAACGAAACAAGAAACTAACCTGACTGAAGTATTTCTAGTGCCCTCTTAGTCTCTTGAACGTCCGCGGCTGGCACGTATGCCAGAAGCTCTTTTGTGTACGCAGCAGCGGTCGCCGAGGCGTAGCGTTGCCATCGATCGTTCTTATGAGAATCGGCGTAGTCACAGATCCCTCGGATCACAAGACAAGGAAAGTGGTTCATCAGACCTGCTGCTTCCATCTCAAAGCAAATGCAATTCTCGCCGATATCAGCAACAATCCGATCGCGAGTAGCAGCATCTTTGACGAGTGTGTTTCCAGATGCAATGGTCCCATAGTGGATTTCGGGGTCGGTAGTGTCGCGAGTGTCCCGTTGAACCTCATTAGCAATATCACAGCTCCGACAGTTCGGGCCGGGGATGTGATCGTATTGGGATTTGAACAGGCGGTCGTTATCGAAGCCTTGGTGAATATAGCCAGGACTTTTCTTGGATCTCTTGCCCATCTTCGGGTTTTTCTCCAGCATTTCTTGAAGGAATGAGGGAACCTTGGAGTTTTTTCGCTCGTGGTAGGCTTGAATTCCGCCAAGCGCATTGAGGAGGACCATCGGAGGCCGTCCGAGGAAACCTTTGCGGTCACGTTTGTCGCCAGGATTTGCCTTAATCAAGTCGTATTGGCAGACGCCGCCCGTGATCCCACTGGGCTGGCTCACGACAACGTCACCCATCCGGATGTCGTGGTCCTCGTCCGGTCGGGCGATGCCGCCGCCTATGCCGACCATAAGGCCAACACGAATGGACGGCAAAGAGGCGAGCAGGCTCGAAGCCGTGGTCGCAGCCGAGGTCGTTCCGTAAACACCAGGAGCTAGAGAGGCAATGACAATGTTGTGCTCTCCCACACGACCCCACGTATAAACGTTCGCGTCGGCCTGGTTCCTAGTAAAGCCGGTTGGGACTACATACTCTTCATCGAGCATCCCTTCTGCAGCGGCCCGCTCGATGGGAAGAGCGGTAATCCAGGCGATTTGATAGGATTCAGGGTTGTCGGGGCCGTTGGGGGATTCCATTATGCGGAATGAAGTGCACTAGGCTGCCAATTGACAGGTGGAAAGATAGAGGTATGCACTTCGTCTGTCGTAGCTACCTGACAAAAGACTGAGACGTGACTGTGACGTATTCTTTATCACTGGTAGTCCAAGGGCGCAACCTTGACAGTTGCAACACAGAACAAACGCCGCCGAAGGCCTGATTCGCTTGTCGAATATTCTTGGAAAGACACCGGGAAGCAGTAGGAAAATCGATAGGTTCGCACTTATCCCTGACATGCAAGAGATGCAATGGTAGAAATAAGCAGTCTTAGGCAAGACGGAATCATTTTCAGGGCGGCAAGAGACAAAATACTATTGGTGGCAGTAGGCTGCCCCTCAAATAGCAGACGGGGCGTGCCGTTCGAAAGCAGCAAATCACTTTGCGTAATACTCCGTAAGCCCAAATCCCGGCCCGACGTTTTCCCCGGCCCAATCCGGGGGTTCAACTCCCGATCTGGGGGTTCAACTACTCCAAGAAGCAAGATATCAAGATTCAGCGGCAACGACCTGGTAATAAAGGTCATGGGAAATAATTGCTACACTATAGACCCGTTTGCATAGGAATTACGAAGAAAAAGTCGAACTTGACCAGGATTTTGTACTATTCTGGCACTTAGACGGTTCGTGAGCGTCAGCACATAGATATATATATTTCTTATAGACAGATGTACGTGTATCTCCCTGTTCAAGTATGACCCTTTCATCAGTGGAACTCCTCATTTGTAGGCTTATAGGATTTAATTTCATGCCAAAAGCTAGCTAATCTCTCAAAAAGAGTTTCCGTTTCCACAGATAATTGATACTGGGAAATTCTGCTTTCTTATGCAGAATGCCAAGAATTGGCATGTCTGTATTGTTTTCGGCCCATAGCCCATCTGCGGGTTGGGGTCGGGTTGGGCTGTTTGGGCCGGTCCGGAAATCTACATGACAGAGATTACAGTTTCATCGTTACATTCTGCACCATTTGGCATCGCTTGCTACGTTGGTCCCCTGGTGTTTACTCAGTAAAGTTCGCACACAGCCATCGGGTCTAGCAAGCCCCAGTTTGACAAGACCAGGTGAAGACGACTCCATCATTATTTACGACAGACTGTCGTGAGGATGCCATCAGCGCAAGTGGCACCTGGATTAACCTCTGATTGCAGCAGTTACACGCCTAAACCATTCCTCCAAGGGCGAACATGACATGAACGCTGATTAGGGGTAGAACATACAGGATAGGTTGTCAGAGGTCGCACAGCAAGATGGCTCTTGGTAGTGTTGTTACGGATATCAATGCCACCTTCACAAAAGACCGGCTTGAACAGTGATATGCCAAAGAACATCCATGGTGTGGTGAGTTGACAAATATATACCTGATGCTCAAGGACAGTCGACGCAGAGGAAGCAGAGAATCTGGCCATTTCCTGGCAAGAGATGCTTTCGCGTGATATACTAGAGCACGATACCAGTGAAATATGACGCACGCGCTCAGCTTGACTACGCTGCAGCTGCAGTGACACCCAGGGTAAATGGCCTTTGCACACCCATCAATTCCACGAAGCATCTGTCCAAAGGCACCACAGCATTTCTGACAGTGCCCTTGATGCAGCGTCGTGTATGTCCAGTTTGTTCCTTTTCACTCGTTCATTTCCGTTTGGTAGGTTCCATCCGCTTGAATACGTCTAACGGCTCAGCAAGGCAGAGCACGATCAGGTAAAACAGTGTCGGTCGGTGATTCTTAGCTCGAGGCTCTTTGGTTGGTTCGGCTGTGGCTCGTGACCAAACATTTCCTTTCTCGGGTCGTAGCTGGTATGGCAATATTAATCTGTGGGCCCGATATGACGGGGCCTTTGCCTCACGTTCTCCTTGCACACAGGCTTGAACTAACAATCTGGCCGTCTGCAAAGGTATGGCTCACCTGCCATCAAGCCAGACGAAACCTCCAGCATCCTCGGTATTTTGGGGTTCCGAGACGGAAAAGACGCGAGATACTAACCAAGGACATTGATTGTCACCCATTGCACGCCAGGAATCAATCCACGAGGAGGCCTTTGTTTCACGATGTTCGAATGCCGACACGCATCAGCACACTGCTGCACAGAATCCACTAAGGGAAGGGCCGTGGTAGACGATATGGAGCTTATACTGACTCATCGTCAATGCGAGTAGTCATATGGAACGGATAGACAGCATACAATCGCATCGGTATAGGGGAGTCCAGGCAGACAAGACATTCGCTCGTTTCGCATTTGACTCGATTGACGGCAACACGAGGGCGTCCTGTTGTACGATAAGGGTCAGCAAGGCTTACCACTTGGACGAGTTGTTAAGACTTACCTGTTCATAGAGTTCGCAGAGGGCACGCTTGGTACGCTTGAGACAAGACGATCAGTGAACTTTGTGATCTACGAAGTTGCCAACTAGATACTTACAATCCTCTTCGGCAAGGCAATGCAGCACCTAGCTTGCGATCGCATCGGTATAGGAGAGCTCAAGCAGACAAAATATCTCGCTTCGCATTCGACTTGAGTGACGGGGATAAGAGGGGCGCTGTTGTACAATCCGAGTCAGCAACGCTTACCACTTGGACGAGATCTTATGACTTACCTGTTCATGAAGTTCGCACAACGTTCGCTTGACACGAAACGATCAATTAGCTTCGTGGTCATATCTTACCGACGAGATGACTTACAATGTCTTCATCAATGCGTCACCATTCATGCCATGTTGACATGATGTTGTATCCAGTTTGTCGCACTCTCCGTTTGTCGCTTCGAAGAAGGCGCGCTGGGTGCACCGGGCAACTTCTGAGAACCAAAGGCGCGTGACGAACCACCTGTGAGAGGAAATTGTACAGTCATAATGGGATACAGCCTCGTGGTGGGGACGGCAGAGGCTCATACACTCTGCCGTTCATGGTGTGAGGGCGGTGAGGTTGAGGCGGAAGACGCGATGGATCACGCGTCGTAGTGACGTGGTCTGTCAGGAAAATGGTGATCAGCATCGTGTTAACCCAAACGGTACCTCTGAGATTCTAGAGGATTCGATACCAGGTATTCTCGAGGGTATTTTAACCCCCTCGAGCCCAGTAGATAGGAAACAAGAATCAACACTTTTTTCTGATCATCTTTGTTATTCCCCTTTTTGATTCCGTTGCCTTTCACTGGCCAGTAAATCCGGTGTATTTCCACAACTATACAGAACATTTCTGATAAAATACTATAGTTGACTTTGCATATCAAGTAGAAATGCCGCTTGGAAAGCACTTTGTATCTATAAAACCGAGGTGAAAAGAGGATATCCAATGAAAGTATTCGAATATTGATGGTGATAAAGCAGAGGTCCACCTTCTGCGCACAGCAACTAGCCAATTAATAGGCGCCCCAAGCAAAAACCCCGACAGTCCCGCACCCCAGGCGCCAAAGTTGTGGTTATGATAAAGAAAATCAGCCCGAAGCCCGATCATTGTGAGATAAAGCCAAGAATGACACCCAAAGTGTTATATTCATAAACTTGCTCGAGGGTACCTAAATTACGATTTAAAGATCCAATTTACCAAAACGAGATGGATCAGCTCTCAGTCAGTGCAAGTGCCATCGCAATTGCAACACTTGCCGCTCCGACCTTTCATCGCTTTGTCAAAGCTTACCAGGACGTCTTCATGCGGTGAAAATTGAGGTAGTATTGAACCGGAAGGGTAATAATAACCAATACGTGATGCGAGGATTATCCTTGAAATGAGATAAAATTTCTGGACTCTCAATATCTATCGCTAATAACAACGCAAGCCAAGCATAGAAATGCTGAGGGTCGAAAAGGGCGACGCTGGCCCTAGTGTTCCACAAATGCTGAAATAGTTGTGCTGAACATGGCCCGGCTGCGGCAGATCCCGACCGTTTCGATCACCGTCAGCGCCCAACAGCCCTGCCGTCATTTCACACTTCGGTCTGTCCTCAATTCTTCAACAATGTTGCACTCGTAGAAATCTCTTGGACTCCATTTGGGTGTGGAATTGCATGCGTGGCCAAGGCGGACACGATCAGCATGTCAAGTGAAACCATCGTCACTAGCCCCTCACCAACAGAACCTCGAGAATGGCAACCTTGGCTGGATTGGCCACTTTTTGTGGAGACCGTTTTTGAAGCCGGGGCTATTTGTCATACACGGGGGATCTTTTCACTGATAAGAGTTCGCCATCGAGGTTATGCATAATGCACTTCGCCTCGGGATAGTGTTTTCATTCTTGCGAAATGTGCCACATTCTCGACCTCCCTCCCGAGATTGTCATCTGGGTATTTGAGTCACTTGAGAACATAGATGACGCCTTACATTTTGCCCGATCCTGCAAATATGCCTTTTCTGCGTTTGACTCAAACAGCGTCCGATTGAAGATTTTCAGATCAATTATTGTAAGAGCGCCGCTTCTGTTGCGCGATCCGGCGAGTAACTAACGAGAAAGCAGACCAATGCGTCCCAACATCAGCATGATCTTGAGCTCAATCAAGCTGTTCATATGCATGGCCATTTCTCATCTGAATTTTACACCACACCAATAATTCCCGGAAACGCCGCCCGCCGCAGATGGCATCTTAATATGCTGGAGCCTCTGAGATATGGCACAAGTATACCTGATGAGGTTGTTTGGGATATAGTGGCCCGATGGCATGGAATGCGTCTTCTCTTTGTTATTTACCTAGATAAAGCCACAATGGAAGCCTACGTGGGGTCGGTATTTTCATTCACGCCCGGTGTGAATGAACCGGATACAACGGAGGAATCCGCGTTTGAAGGGGATATCCCGAAGCCGTCTCCAAACCCCGAGTCATGCGAGAACAGAACGATTCCAGCTAGCAGACAAGCCAGCTATGAACGATTCTACAAGGCTTTGACAGCCCAATGGATGTCGATTGAGAGGCTCTGGAGGGTCAGAAGTCAGGTGTGGCCGAATGCTCAAAAGTTTGATGACGCATTCGACGCTACCCTAAGACAGTGGATCAACAACCCGGGAAGGCCGATGAAAGAGAAAATAGATATTGCTGAGATCGTTGAGTTCGTATGGGGGTTTCTTGGGCGAAAGACAATTCGTTTCTCCGAGTTTTCTTCTTGGCTGGAAGGTGAAGACGACCTGGTCAGAGACCAATATCTCGACCAAGACGAAAGCAAAGTCGGGAACTGGGGGTTTTTTATACGAAGCATTGTTCAATTCCTGAGGCCTCCGCAAATTCTTCAATTGGTTCTTTCCTATTGGTATCCATCAAGCTGGAATTTCGATCGGTCTGGATTTCTTCGACATTTGGGACTTTTCGACACCTGGGAAGGTGTACTTATCAATGCTCCTCCTTCTCCAAGGTCCGACAGCTGGGTTTCTCTGGATATAGTGAACTATGACGTGGGAAATTCCTTTGCGCACATGGAAAATGGCAAGGAGGTTGAGGAGAATTGGCAAAATTACCGGCAAACTTTATGGTCAAAGGAGATAAAGGGTAAGTTGTTCCTTGAGGGTATACCCGAGCGAGATATCTTGTGTAAAGTTACGGGCGGAGCTGCGTGTCCGCAGGGGTTTTGATTTATTCATTGCTAAGAGGACAGGTGATAATTCATCATCTCCGCTTCTTTTATTAAAATTCGATGCCTTCTTCTTGTTAGCTAGCCGTCAGGAGACGCCTGGAGGGTTCAGACAACACCAATCGGTCACTTCACGGGCTCAGGCAAATCTGTCAGCCAGCCCCGGGCCAGTGCACCCAAGCAATCTATTTATCACTGCCGCAATGCTGCGGTCCAACAGTGTTCCATGACACGTTTCGCCGGCTCGATCAGCTATCCTGACATCGGTCACTAATGTCTGGGCGGGCGAACAAGACTTGACGCTGCAAAATCTCAGCTTTAGTGAAGGGATCGGCCACATTTACTGTGTGTTGTCTGACCAAGGACGAGGAACAAACAGCCGAATGCGTGATCCTGCATTGCAGTCAGTGCCGAGCGCAGGCCCATCTTTCCTGCGCAGAAGAGTGTTTGGAAAAGCGACGTGCAGGCTTTGGCACATCATGCTGTGTGTGGTAAGTAAAGATGGTCTCATTCTGCAATGCCGGGATGCTGATGAATGCAGTCGAAACGAAGGAACTCTGGACGTTTTGAATCGTCCATTTCGAATCCCCTCGGCAAGCGAATCATCAACCGATGGGGAACCTGTCACCGTCAGGTATTCAGTATCAAATGAACCCCATCAGAGTCAACCGCGTCAGGGGTCAGTGGAATCCCCAGGGGTATCAATCAAGCAAAGTGGGCCCCGTCGCTCAGCCAGACTAGCAGGGCTCACCAATCGCGAGATTCTTCTACCTCTACATCGCTTCGCCGGTCGGCATGCCTGAATCCCACTTAGTGTAGGTGATCGCAGTTTGATGAATAGGGGAATTAGCGAAGCGACTGTGAATCACACGCGATAGCACGTGACCAGCAGCAGTGATAGAGTTTTGGAGCAAGCTTAGCATCAAATGGATTAATTCAATTGTTAAACTCCACAAAAAACTACGCGACCGTCGCACATTTGCAACGATGGTAACTCAAAACCGAGTGCCGGTAGATAAAAGCGCACATACCTAACGGCAGCGGCTAAACATTGTGGAGCGCGAAGACGGACCTTGTTGGCAGAATACACAGCTCGCGGGTCGGGAGAGTCTTGACGATTCTATCCGTAGTGCCTCACGAGTCACGTATTAAACTAGCCCGTGTATACTTAATCGACAAATATTGTTAATCTGACTCTGGGAATCAATAGATTGATCCTGGAAACGCCAAAAGCAGTTCTAAGAGCCTTTTATTCCCTGGGAATTCCTCTTTAGCTCCTGGAGCTATGTCCTGTTTCTAGGAAACCGAGGTCTACCCCTGGGATCTTCACTCTACTGAATACGAACTGGCCTTGGGAATGCTGTCAGAGATACACATGAAGCATGGAGAAATGATCTGCGCGGGACCCACATGGTGTATATGGGTTCCCCTGAACGCGAGGAAGCTACCTTTCTTTTGCTTCCTCGCGCTACGTCTTGTATCTGTTGTTGTTCAGAGGTATAAATTGACTATTTCAGAGTGATACATGAGCCTATATATACAACAATGAGCCAAGTTGATTGGAAACCAACTTGGTCGTCTGTATAGACACTTCGGAGCTAATTCCGACGGTGCGGCTTGGTTCCTGATCTGCACCAGCCTCATATCACAACACGTCGAGCAAATGATCCATGCTTCAGGCTACGATAGACTGCCACCTTGCACGACACAATGTGCATATACTCGCAGTCCTCGAACAACGCATCCTTCCCCCGTGGAAGATCATGATTCGACATGAACAAGGAAAGCAGTGGCAGACGAAAATGACATCGGTTGCGACAAGCCTAGTCAGCAATCCCGCTCTGAAGGGTGCTAGGCCCAAGTCGGTACGGTATCTTTCTCCTCTCCGCCAATACTTAAAATTGAGGGTACGGTACATCATCTCCATGCTTGGTACGGTCACGTGTTTGTAGCAAAGGTCACTTTCAGTACGGACAAGCTTTTGGCAAATGAGGTATTTTCAAACACTAGAATGCGCATGAGCGCCTCGGAAATTGACCCCTGACGTTCTTTTCTCCTTTTTAGGTGTGCGTTGATTTATCGCTCAATTGGTTCCCTTTTCAGATGAGAGCGCGAAGAAAAGAAGGAGATACGACTTAGATAGCGGACCGAATGTGGTCCAGTTGGGACCTGCATCCTTGCACAGATGTGATCGACTTTTGGTATTAGCACGTATAGAGACCACTCAAATGATCATTTCAATTTATCTTCTCTGTTCTAAAAGAGCAAGGAGCTTGTCTTGCAGTTCCTTATAGTCCGCTTCTCTCTTTTTCTCCCTGTCCTTCTGTTCCACCTCTCGCCTTTCTTCTCGTAGCTTCTGCTGTTCCAATTGAACGAGAAGCTTCTCTTCTCTCCCCTTCTGTTCTGCCGCCCGCTTCTCTTCTCGTTCCTTCTGATCTGCCAGCTGCTGTTGTAGGGTTTGCACCATCATACGTAGCTCTGGTTGTAGACCACGATTCTGCGAAGACGCTGCTCGGCGATAGCCCGGGCGTTCCTGCAATCCAACCATCGACACCTGAGAGTCAAGCTCATCAACATCGATACCAGAAACATCTTCGTCTGGGTCCGGAACTTCCTCTAGTATCCGCATCAATCTATCGGTATGAATAGGCAGAAATTCACGGTCCAAGTTCTCCACAAACTGATAACATGTCCATCGAGTTTCTTTGACCCAGACGTTGGGTTGCGCAACAGGCCAACGATAGAATGATACCTTGCCATCATGAATTTCCGGGTAGTAACCATATATTCGAAAGCCTTCGAGCTCATGCGATATTGAAAAGCCCAGAATCCGCCGATGCACCTCTTCCGTGCAGCCGGCGGCTTGGCACAAAGAGACCACAGCTCGCAGAGCAATGCACATACTATGCATGTTCTGCCGATCGGCAAGTTCCAGCGCCTGGTTCCCACATTTGATTTCTGCGGTCAAGTATGGGAAGTACATGTCCTCTCGCACCGTGTAGGGCGATTTCTCGTCAGGCTTGATCCCGAGTTTGCGCCGCTGGCTCTCGGAAAAAGCCGACCATCTCAAGCCTCGTGCGTGATCAGGCTGAGGTTTCGGACCATAGATTGGCTCGGTCTTCAGCCAGGGATCATTGTACCCATCAATCACATCCTTCAAAGATTGGTTCCCTCGAATGTATTGATTCTCCGCGGATGGCATAATGAGAGGGTGCAGGTCCACCAACAGACGCGCTTCGGATCGATTCTGCAACGCATTATGGAAATCTGTGCTATACTCGTCTTCGAGCAGTGTGCCGGTGGGTGGTTCGATGGGCTGACTGAGAAGACGCTCACAGAGCGCGATATCCTCGGATATCGGGCCGGTAGAGGACTGTCGCATGAAGCATCCTTTGGTCTCCAGGATGGTGACATAATTGACAGCTCTATATGCATATGACCTGGTGTCCCGAGCCGAACTGCTCTCGCTGTTGTCCGATGAGACCGACCGAGCACGCCCTCGATCCGTTGAGATCGAACGCGATCGGGATCGTTTTGACGCGGGTTGGCTCATCACCTCAAGCGCGTCAGTCTCCGATGGTGCAGGGATCCAGTGGTAGATGTCGTCCAGAAGCTCGTCAGTGGTATTCGTGAGGGACGTTGGAGTGGTAGTTCGGTGTTCGAGAGGATCAGGTTGCTGGGCAGTCAGTGTGATGAATATCGCACTTTGAGGGTCAAAACATACTTTACTATCACAGTCAGGGGAGAAGGGAGAAAGCGGTTGCTGCGCTTTGCTGTGCTCGTGCTCTTTCTTCCAAAGCTCTGGATTCGTGCTTGGGCTTTCTCGCCGGCGCGCTTTTGCTAGTCGCACGTCGCCATCACTGTTGTAGCCATGTAACTCAGACGGTGCCTCGCGTTTCATGATGTCGATCTGGCCAATACAAGAAGATCATTGTCGCCGTCAAAAAGCACCCATCAGCTAGGATTTTCCGTTGTTGCGTTTCATGAAGGAGCCCGACATCGAGTGGTAATGAATGTTCGGTTTGGCGCGCGGCATGGCCTCTTGGCGTGGGCCTGTGCGCGATGATATTTTATCCACTGGCCCTTCATTACGGACCCGCTCGTGCCATTCCACACATCAACTCCACGAAAACAATTCTGTAGCCCAGATCACGTTGGCGTAGTTGATGCCAACAATATGGTCTATGGAAGGGCTCTCTATCTTTTGGCTCGGTCTATCCATGTTTCAACTCTTGAATTTGAAATCAATGAATTCTACAGAATGAAGAAGAAGATAGGGCATAAAGACGTCATTGAGCTGACAAAAAGTGTGCAGAGGAGAATGGCTATTTTTCTATGAAATGATTATAGTCTGATTGAGAGTTTCCGGATCATGATACGGGCCAGCCTATCACAAAGGTCAACACAATACCAGCTGACAATGGTGATCAAGTTTGACTCACCCCAATAAGTGTGGTATGAGCCACGTTGACCTGAGCCTGACCTACCGCAAAAGCGGAGGGGACTGTGACCGTGAAGTTCTGGTAAGGTGGCAAGTAGGTCTCGTGGTACGCAGGGTCGGAACAGCCCATTGTAAATGATGCAGCCCATGATGCTGCTGGAAGGTCGGCAGGCTCTGCTGGGGCAAGAGGCAAGACAAATAGCGACGGCCATCTCTATCGAGCCAGTCAAGGAGTTCTGAATGCGGCTAGAGAATGATAATCCACTCAAAGTCCGTGCCTCTGATGAAGAGCTAATGTTGTCATAGGCATTTTTTTGAGTTTGAGAACGACCGCAGGATTTTTTGTGTGAAATGAAAACCTGATAAGATGGGATTTCCCCAGCAAAAGGACTCCTACTACAGTACTTTCTGAGCTAAAGAACGCAAGTTTTGAGGGCGGCGTGCGTCATTTTTTGAGATAATGTCTCTATGCTTGCTCACTGTTATACGCAGGGAATGAAGGCTAGTACACTATAGCTGCATTCAACTTCCTCCAACGGCTCATTGTGGCAATGGCGAGTCGCAAAAAGGGACGAGTGAAGCAAAAATAGGCCACAGGGTGGACTCCTCGAAAATACTGCTGCCGTTCACTTCAACGCATTGTTGTCATGCAAGCACACCGACGAATCAATATCATCAACGATCACCCTCGCCATCACGCACCCTCGTCAACTGCATAGCGCTCCAGCTCAAGATACCTCTGTTTCAGTGCACTTATATGGCCACCACCAATATGATGTCTTGACTGAATACTGTCCGGCCTATCTACGCTCCATTGGAGATTTGCGATACGTATATCATAAAAAGACATTTTAAGCGTCTAGAAATTATCCAGATGAAGGCGCTGGGCAAAAGAGGTATCAATTTCTTGAAGCAAGTTGCTAGTCCAGTCCAAGGTGATATGCTGCCCAAGGTGTCCTTTTGAGAGTCCATCATCTACCACGCCACTGTGTGAGACTTTTACTGATCTCTGCAAGTCCGATCTACTTCATAATATGCATTAGTATGGTATAGGTAGCAACCGTTTCAGTGCGACAGTATCTAATGCCAGTTTTAGAAAGTCAATAGACCCTGGGGGTTCAATTAGATTTCAGGAACTAGTCTGCTTGCTCACTCCCAAGAGATCGGACTCATTTCGCGGGCCCGTGAACAAATGAACATCCATCAAATATGATGTGTTTAAAGAGTGCAAGTTAGTTGCTCCGGAAATGGTATAGCTCCATGACATCGTACTTACCCTGTAAGATGATCCCAATATCAGCTTCAAAGTAATGTTTCGGTGACAGCTCTATCAGCCCTGTGAGTGCACATCCTGGCCCTAAGAGCTCTCTTGCTCCCCGGGGGCTTTAGTGCCGTTTCTGGGCCAAAGAAGCAGCTTCTGGGAGCCACGTAGCCCCCAGGAATTCCGACGTAGCTTCTGGGGTCTAGTACTTTTACCTCGGGGAACCAAAGTCATGTTCCTTTTGACAGTTTAATCACCTCCTGGAACCTGAAGTGCGGCTCCTTGGCCGATGGCTTAGCCTTTCCTGGAGTAATCGGATGACGCAGATTTGTGCGCAGGTCTGGTGAAGGTATCTTGTGAGGGCTTTCCCCGACCTCAGAGGGCAGAATGTTGACTCTAGGATCCAGAAGTAGGGTCCCAGGAGCGCGACAGCTCCCAGATTCAGCCAATTTGTTCCCAACACCAGTTCGTATCCGGTCAGGATCGTAGACTGGAAATCCCAGGGGGTAGAACTCGGTTTCCTGGAAACGGAAAATGGCCCCAGGAGCTAAAGACAAGTTCCTAGAGAATATACAGCTCCTAGGATTGCTTTTGGCGTTTCCAGGATTAATGTGAGGGTTTGTCAGGGATTCACATGAAGTATACAGGATGTTTGGAGAAATGATCTGCGGGACCCACATGGTGCTTATGGGTTCCCCTGAACGCGAGGAAGCTCGTTCCTTTTGCTTCCTCGCGCTACGTCTTGTATCTAGAGTCGACTATAGCTTTCTTTAATATTGATCACTCATCTACGGATACGTGAGACCCTCACATTACGTAGCGCCAACCTTGATAACCGACGACAACAAAGACAACCGACGACAACAAAGACAACCGACGACAACAAAGACAACCGACGACAACAAAGACAACCGACGACAACAAAGACAACCGACGACAACAAAGACAACCGACGACAACAAAGACAACCGACGACAACAAAGACAACCGACGACAACAAAGACAACCGACGACAACAAAGACAACCGACGACAACAAAGACAACCGACGACAACAAAGACACAATGACGTCCAAATCTAACGAAGCCCTTAGCGCTCGAGGGCCTGAGGATATGGAACGGAGAGGAAGAACAAGAAGAGAAACCGTGATGGCACAAGAAGCCACCGTCGTCGACGATGACGGATCTGACGACGACGACTACCAGCCTAGTAATGAAGACGACAGGACAGTACTGCCCGAAAATGCGGGCACGACCCCGATGATTGATGCGTTTGACTACGTGAGCCCGAATCACCCGCTACGTCCTGCTCGAGCGATCTGTGTTCTAGATAGAGCGCAACAATTGGCACGATTGCGACACCATTTCGAGTTCTGGTGGGACGTTATGCTCGCCATGGACAAACAAGCCAAAATGAATACAAACCAAGTGACCGATGATTTGATTCGTGAAGAAGTCATACGTTTAGGCGAAGACAACCGAGAACTGCGACGTGAAAGAGACCGTATGACGGTGCAACGAGATTTGGCAGAGAAGCGAGTCGAGGAACTGGCCTCGAAGTTGGACGGAGCTTACCGAGAGCGAGACCAGTCAATCAATACGTTGATGAATACGGCGAGACAAACGACGCCGGTTCCGGAAAGAAACACCAACAGCCGTGTTCCCCGACGCGATGTCTCCCTGGAGGCTCGGACTGAACCGATACGACGAGACGGTTCCCACTTGCTTTACTCCAGTCCGGGACGTTTCGATAATCCAAAGTTTCCTGATGCGCCTGTATTTTCAGGAGATCGCGGCGCGTTTGATAGCTGGAGAGACAAGGTGTATGACAAGCTGAGTAACAGCGCCGCTCAGTACCCAAATGAAGAGCAACGAATTGCCTATATTCGCAGCCGCACTGACGGTATCGCCTATCAACAAATCCGAGCCCAATGTCGACCCGACCATCCGCGCAGCTTTCGGTCTGCTGAAGATGCATTGGAAGCTCTAGAAAAGATTTACGGCGATAAAAACAAGAGAAAACGGGCCATCAACGAACTGCGCACCCTGCGTATGGGAAGAAGGACCTTTGATGACTTCTATGCCGACTTCGCCCGCTGCGCTGCGGAAGTTGGATATGCTGAAGATGCTATGATACCACTACTCGAAAACGCGATCTCAAACGAGTTGGCCCGACAAGTCATCGGGTTGCAGAAACCCGCAGACTTTTACGACCTGGTAGATTTCTATCGAGATGTTGATCACGAGATGCGTGATTACGAAAGAAGGTTGCCAAGCCGTGTCGTTGGCACCGGCCGAACCAATCAGCAATACGAAAAATCACGTCCAAGACAGACACCCTTCGCCACACGATCTGAAGGCTATGTTCCGCGCCCGGTAGATCGCGCCTTGCTTGCTCAGCATGGCCGATGCTACAAGTGCGGTGAGCATGGACACCGAATCCACGAGTGCACAAACCCGCAGATGAAGGAGATGCCACGCCTTGGTCGCGGAACAGCGAAGGTAAACCATGCGACGATGGAATCCGACATCGACGATGAGAGCACCATCGTTGAGGGAAAAGAGATGTCCTAGATCGAAGTCGCGATTTAGGACGGACGAAGTACGAAGTACGATCAATAAGAATCTCCGCTTGCTCTGTGCGGCAGCAGAGGGTGAAACTCGATGGTAATCACCTCATCCTGCCATGCACTCTGCACAAGGACGGAAAGGATGTGCAGATAGATGCTCTTGTCGATAGCGGAGCAAATGGAATGGCTTTTATTGATCAAACCTTTGCGCAAAAACACGATTTGAAACTGGAACTGTTACGTCACCCGCGACGGCTCGAGGTCGTTGACGGAAGACAATCGGTCGCGGGGCGGATCACCCATATGACACGGATACCCATGAACATACAGGGGCACAGAGAGACTCTGCCCTGTTTTGTGACCAAGTTGAGCCAGCAACCGATTGTGCTCGGAATCCCTTGGCTGAAGCTCCACGATGTGACAATCTCATGGAAAAAGAACACGTTGACATTCGATTCTGCACACTGTCACGAACACTGTGGAGTGAAGAAGAGGATTGTGATCTGTGGAATCACGAAAGAAGATCCAATGAAGAAACCGACGAAAGATACCGAAAAGAATACGCTCGACATTCGCATGATTGGAGCGTCCCCCTTTCTCTACCTAACAGACAAAGCAAGAAAGAAATCCGAAGACTTCACCATCTTCGCTGCCTCGATGGCAGATATCGAGAAAGCACTGGCGCCTAAGACCAAAATTGAACCCAAAGAAAAACTACCGCCGGAATACCATGAGTTTCTCGACGTGTTTACGCAGACAGAAGCCGACAAGCTCCCACCGCACCGCGCCTACGACCACAAAATACGGACAACATCCCCGAATGGGACATGAACCGCCCCAAGGAACACGAAAACTACCTGCGAAGCAACATATGGATATCAGCACCGCGGACGCCTTCGCCAACGAAATGGCGAGATTGACAGAAATACCACGTTTGGAGATGACCATGGCTCAAGCGCAACATGCCGAGTACGCGAATGAGAACCGAATGCCAGCACCACAGTATCGTGAGGGAGACGAAGTGTGGCTAGAGACAAGAAATTTGAGTATAGAAAGACCAGCCAGAAAACTCTCGGAGAAGTTCATTGGGCCGTTTCGAATTACAGAAGTCATGGGCCCAGTCACGTACCGGTTGGAGCTTCCCCCAGCGATGAGAATTCACGACGTGTTCCACACGAGCTTGCTCCGCCCAGCAGCTTCGGATCCCCTCCCTAGCCAGAACGAATCTACTCAACCCCGAATCAGATTGAAGAAAGATAACACTGAGAGAAGAGAGTGGATGGTTGAAAAGATACTGGATTCACGCATCACCACGAATCGACATGGAAAGAGAAGACTGGAGTACTACGTCAGATGGAAAGGCTACCCTCCTTCGTGGCGACCCCAACAGGACCTGGTCCCGGGGGAGTGGCGAACTCTTGTACGAGTTCCACAGTCAGCATCCGGATCGGCCTTCGCCTAGTGAGCTTTGGCGTCGCAGGAGCTCCTAGTTGTTTAGGAGGGGGTAATGTCAGGGATTCACATGAAGTATACAGGATGTTTGGAGAAATGATCTGCGGGACCCACATGGTGCTTATGGGTTCCCCTGAACGCGAGGAAGCTCGTTCCTTTTGCTTCCTCGCGCTACGTCTTGTATCTAGAGTCGACTATAGCTTTCTTTAATATTGATCACTCATCTACGGATACGTGAGACCCTCACAGGGTTTCACGTATACGTAGATGGGGACTGAGTTTCGTAGATGAATAATCAATATAATAGTTCCCAGAGTCAGATTAGTGGGTCTGGGAGCCGTTGCACTACTAGGGTAGCATCTCTGAATCCTAGAGTCAATATTCTGCCTCCCAAGGTAGTTTGTTAACTTACAAAAACTTTTCAACAAACCTACGCACAAATGTGAGACATTCAACCACTCCCATAAGGCTTAACCATATTCCTCAGAACCGTACTTGAGGTTCCTGGAGTTGATGAAACTGTCAGCAGGAACATGACTTTGGTTCCCTGAGATGTGAAGGTACAAGGCCCCAGAAGTTCCATTAGGTTTCCTGGGGACTATAAGACTCCTACAAGCGGCGCATATCTTCCCAGAAACCTTCCAGAGGCTTATGGGAGCGAGGGAATTCACAGGGCCAAGATGTATGATCCTAGCATGGATAGTAACGCCGACAGGAACATGACCGACTCTTGATAGTGAAGATGAATAGACTGACAAGCCACGTACGCTTCATTGGGGTATGATAAATTCAAAGCCACCGTGTTGGAGTCTACACAAACACCTAGTTAGTAGATGCTTACAAAAACGGATGGTTAACTAGTCAACGGCCCCGCAAAATATATCCAATGTCTTGGGAGTAAACCGGCTCCTGGAATTACCCTAAGCTCCTAGGACTTTTTCCTTTGTCAATTCTTGCCTAATTTATGGTGAAATCGATTGGTCGCTGTAAATGGCCATATCAGTGCATCTTGTGGAACAATTTTGACCTGGAAGCAAGGCCGTAGGTGTAGAAACGCATTAATACAGGTACCCCGACCTACCCTTTTCATATTTACTATCCGTGATATCGCTCGACCCATTTCTTCCACTGACCGATCTACCTTTCCTTGACAACAGAATCCAACGGCCTGTGCTATCATTTGACAATATCATTCGATTTTACTTCAAACAACCAATTTCTCCAGGTCGGAGTCAACCACGGTAACATTTATACGCCTACCGACCCGAGTTCAGTCGCTCATTCGCAAGGCCCCCCGACACCCAATGTGGACGGCAAAATTGATTCTACCACTCAAATAACTCTGTCGCAGGCTCTGGTCAGAGCTCGAAGATGCCTTGACATGATTCAGCACGCAGTGTCTCAAAATACCCAAACTGCAGTGGCTGCGGAGCGCCTGAGCAGTCTTCTTCTGGGCATCGCAAAACTCGACCCTGAACAGTGTGGCTCTCTGGAAAAAGGGGCTATCACCACTGTCTTTTCACTTTCGTACTGCTGCATCATGGAATGCTACGAGCTCAGACCTACTCCGCTGGCAATCTCGTCTCTAGGCAATCAACTTGACGCCTGCAACTTGGCTCTTCAGTGTGTGTATGGGGCAGCTACGATGTATGTTTCAGATTATTGATTCGATGTTGACAGCTTGAATTCTAACAAGATCGGTGTTCTAGGGATCAAGGTGATAGGAGATCGGTATCCCCACAGCAACAGAAAGTCAAGGAGGCCATCGAGCAAATGGACAACCTGAGAGCCAAGTTTTTAGACAAATTGAAGCAACACGAGGCGGCCATATACCGTTCTCAGGCGGTTCTTGAAATCTTCAAAGCAAAACGTATGCCTGATCGTGCGGCGAGATTTGAGGGCATGCATGTGAGCTTCGGTGGAGAAAACCGTGGTATCCAAGCCGTTGAGTATCATGGAAGGACGGAACGCATTACCTTTCCTCTCTAGATGACATAGGAAGTTGAATAAACTCGGTGAGATATCCATATTCTATGCTGTATCTGTGTGAATCTATGAATACATATTTGCTATCTGTATGGCCGGTCGCAGAGATCACATGCCTGACAAAGATTACACTTGGTCCATAATTTTAGCCATGGAATATATGAATACCAAGTAAACAAAATATCATAAACCAAATAGTGATGGGTCGGCGCCTGTCTGGCACCAATTGTAAGGCGAGTGGAGCGAACCACCGAGATTGAATCCCAACCGGTCCTATACACAGCAAACTACGGAGCACAGCGAAGCGCAAAATAATATCTTAAATGCACTCATATCTTCCTACTCGTTCACACTAATAGGATAGTGGTTTAATATAGCACCTGCGACCTTGGAGGGGATCACAAATCAGGCCATAGAGGGCCTTGCAGACACAATTGAATTAGATATAGTCCGACCATTTCTAATCCCCTGTTTGTGCACCATACCGAAGACCGGCAGATTTCAACCCGCATCCTCATTTCTTGATCTGAGATGGATTATGTACATGGTTTAGCTAGGTGGCGAATTTAGGAAACGATAAATTTTCTAGCAATATAATGCGGCCCTGACTCTTGAGCGCATTAAATTTGACTTGCGACATTATTATTTGCTCTGCATCTTGTTTAGTGTTCAAAATTTCACAATTCCTGGGAACCACAACAAAGCATCAACAATGTTGGCAAAAGCGAACAGGTGGCTTTCAGCAGGCCTCATATAGTATAGGTACCCGGGCCCTTCATATTCTGCTGCCAACTAGATCTTCAAGTGACCAGACAAGCCTAGAGGGCTATAAATCTCTCGACCCCGACGCCTTTGCACTATATGATAATTTCGAATCGCTCAGCAGTCGAGCAGGCGTTGTGTTCGAGACTACCTGAGACTTCTTGACCAGGACCATTTGAGTTCTCCTTTACATGCTCTCGAGCTTTTATTCTCCAAGCGCGGCTGCTTCCATGAGAATGAAACCCACCCCTGGCTGTTCAGACATTGGCCCCGAGTTTGACCGCCTAAAAAACATCAAGAGGATTTCCCTCAATGCAAAGCTTGTGGCCTTTGTCGAAAAGGCTCATTCATCGATTCAGGAACGAGGACGTTTCAAGCAACGGGATTATTACAAGAGATCTCTCCTTCATTACGCTGCCATGGGGAACTGTACAAACCTCCTTCAACATCTCCTACAAAGCAAGCCAAATGTTGATTCTCGAGATCAGTGGGGGCGGACACCACTCTCCTGGGCTGCTGAGTATGGCTCATTGGCTGTTGTGAAAATTCTACTGGAGCAAGGAGCAAACGTCAACGCATTAGATTACGAGGGCGGCGCACCGTTGACATGGCTGATTCACACCGGCAACCCTGAAATTGGAAAGCAGGAGGACACTGAGGCGTACCTAAGAGAGAGAGGCGCGACAGAAGGGAAATTGAGAGGCATCAAGTTCGCCTGGGTCTGGGTTTTGCATTATACTCACTTAATCCGACACGTTCGCCCGCACATCTAAGGCTCCCGATGACATAGAGCCAGCTGATATTGTGCTCTACTATGACGGCCATCAGATAAGGGTCATAGTTGTGGAAGGCGGGTTTCACAGACACTCTTGCTTTCTTTTTTTATTTGAGTTCAGTATTTTTGAAGTGGAAATAAAAAGCAACAATGCAGATTTGCGCGGAATGTTTGGAACATCCGTATGTATTCTATTAGTAAACATCCTATTCTTGCATGGCAGTCCAAGATAGTAGGGCAAGGGATACATGTGCTAGTTTCCACTTTAGCCCGTAAAGAAACTGGTATGTTTGACCCCAAACTGTCTACTAGAAGACTTTGAGTTCATGGTCGTTTGCGTCGACAATTTGCGTGAGTGCATCAACTAGAACTAGGTCTTGCAAATTTTATCTCGTATGGCAAAGCCCCTGAGCGTTGCTTGAAAACAGGATGAGACGACATATTCATTATTTATTCTTTCTAGGCTATACTGTAAAGTCAAGCTAGCTTATCATATAATAGATAGAATGACATATGTCCTGGAGATGACTCCGTGTCTGATAGACTATGCCAAAGCTTCTCTGAGGTAGGGTGTTATGCAACTTGACCGCCAGCCTATTTCCTGGGCTGGACCACAATGGTAAAGGCTATAAGAATTCCATCCCTCTTGTCTTGAATCAAGCATACACTAGACTTTCCCAATGCGTTTCGAATGGGCTACTGTACAGAGATAGTAGTCAATACTATGCACTGCTTAATATTCTACCGTGACGTGCCTTCTAGAGCCTCGTGGGGTTTGCTATCTCATTCATAAATGGATTGCGAGTTCTCATATTATCACTTCGCTGGTGCTTCTAAGGATTTTCATTTCCTTCGTGGTTCCAATATACTCGTAAACAAGGAACGATCCATTTCCTAAGGCAGAAGGCGAGAAGCTAAAGCTGTACTATAGAACGCCCGGGGAACACTTGAATGATCATCCTCTTGATCAAAGCCCGCGTAGCACCTCTCTTCGTTGCGCCATTCCTTCTCAGATAATCTATTGTGGCTGCTTGATTTGGGCCCCTACCCGCTTCTATCAGCCACGACAACGGTGATGTATACATATCGTCCATGGAGTTAATCTCCACCCCATTGTCCAGCAAAAGTTTCACCGCACGCAATGCACTGTATTGCGCGGCCCAGGAGAGAGGCGTCCGCTTGTTCTGATCGAGGTCATCTTTGGCTGTCCCATCTTGGAGGAGATAAAGAAGGAGCTCGGCACAGTCACCCATTGCAGCATAGTGAATGAGAGACCTTTTAAAAGGTCCTCGCAGGTTGTATATCCCTTTGTATTTGAGTGTTGCTTGTGCATCTTGAAGAAATGCCATAATGTCTTCATCAAAGCATATCTCTTTGATGCCTTTTAGGCGTTGAAATTCACCGTCAATGATGGTCAAGGAGCGAGAAGGAATTGTCATAGTGATCGCAGGCACTCCGAGAAGGAGATATGAAGAGAGAAAAGAGGTTATTTGCTCATCAAGGAAGTGGAAAGATGGAGGATTTTAAAGACGTTGGGATCTTCCTCTTCGTATAGCGAGTGTTGAAGGTGCACATCCCTCAGATGTGCTAGAAAAGGCCTGTTTAGCAACGCAAATTGCATAGGTGATGGATATCGTCAATTTAAATCGTTATTGATTTTGCCTCCGCGAGGTAGGTATTTAAGTATTCAGATTTAACGAGTTACTGAGGGTTGGCACACCGGATTCAAACTCAATGGTAAGGTAAAAGAGGAGGGAGGTGATCATCCCTTCATTCGTTTTCCAGCGTGGGTATCAAGCCCGATGAACAACCTGACCGGTTCGATATCCAAGTTCTAGCATGGTCTGAATTCTGCGTCTGCCTCAGCGCGGGTAAAGTGGCGGACAGTTATCGCCGCACTTGACATTAGTGGTGCTCAAGAGTCGTGCCCGCTATTATCGAATGCTTTTGGACCGCATGAAAATAGTGAAACGTTGTCTAGTTACATCAAATTATGACCATTGGCGCGTTGAGAAGTTGAGGCGAGACCTGCCGGATGTTTCTAGCAATGATAAGGCTTCCACAATATCATGCATTTTACGGATGGCCATTTTTCTGGGGCAGATAGATGGCCAGAAGATCAATCGTTCGCAAGATCCAGTGAGAACCGCAGACGGTATATATGCTTAAGACTCTTCCATCACCACTGGCGAGGACTTGCAGATATTGTCAGAAGCCTCTCCAATAGCCTCACCTCCTGCGACTATCGATTCGATACTTTGTGACCTCTAAGTCGGCTGCGGGATGGGTACCCGCAAACTGATATCACCTACGCCAGACACCAAACAGCACCGGATACAGAGCGTTCATAAACAAAACCAGCAGATTGTCCAAAGCCAGGACCATGTCAAATCTGAGCGACTCTATGGCACTCATTCCCCAGCAAAGATACTTGAGCTCCCCACCGAGTTGCTATATGATGTCCTAGATTATTTATCTACGGAGGATTTGGTGTCATTCGCATTTTGTCGATGGGATCTGTTTCAGGCTCTGATCGGCTTCATCGAAAGCAAGGCAAGAACATCACTACAAAGCCTTGGCCATCTTGTTACATTGTTCGAGAAAACGTGGCCAAAGAAATGGCTTCGAATCATCGTCCCGATCTGCGCCAGATCCGAACAGCCAATATTGAGAGATCTCGGGACACTTGTGGAGTTATTTGAAGATAGCCATTGGCCCAAAGAGCAGCTTCGAGATCTCATCCTAGAATCAGCTAGATATGATCAGCCGGCTGTGCACAGTTGTGTTGGGCTTGGATTTGAAGAGGTGGCTTGTCGGTATTTGCGGAAAAGCCCTCACGCACTATTCGACACGAACATTCTCCACATGACAGTTTTGCACATCTCTGTCCTCAAAAGTTTTCACACTCTGATCCAGGAAATTGGAACTATAGCTCAAAACATGGCTGAGTTTGATCGGGTGGAATTTGTCAATCGGCCCGACGACGTTCAAAACACTCCACTCGACTATGCTATTACGACCTCGTCTTCGACTATTGTGAATATTCTTGTTAGCGCTGGAGCTAGAATCAACGATACAGATCGCCTAGGGTATACTCCGCTCATGAACGCGTGTCATCTCGGACGAGACGAGGTCGTCCACTGCCTGGTTGATCGCGGGGCGGACATACGAGCCACAAACAGTTTCAACCTCTCGGTCTTGGAATGTATAGTGATTGGTGAAAGCCGAACGAAGGAGGCATTGTTGCAGCGCATATGCCCCCATGCTACCCAAGTGCAACTGAACAGAGCACTTTGGCTTGCAGTCAACGAAAAGAAAGAGCTTGTGGGTGTTCTCCTCAGATTTGGCGCAGACGGCCAATACGCCGGTATCCTAGAAGACGATTCGTACGATGCAGAAAGAAACGGGCATACCAGACCAACCACACATGGACCGGTTGAAGCAAGCATGTCATTGTCCCGACGTCATTCAAACCCAAGTATCGCCAGTGACCTTGCGTCTAGGGAACCGGATATTCTCGCTGATTTAAGCCCTATCATGCACTGTGAGGCCAGTACTGACAATGGTGGGATCGTGGACGGCTTTGGGACTTTTCGGCGATCACCGATATTTATATTCCGGTACGGTCCGGACTTCGCGGCCAAGTTCAGCGCAAAGTATGCAGACGGCCATGATATCAACGATGGAAGAAATCCTCCCAATTTTGACGTTCGAATCACTCAACTGAGGGATTCCAACGACCGCGGAAAGCATTGGCGGTATTCAAAAGATAACGTTCTCGGGATTTGCGGAGTTGCATTCGAAGAGAGAAAATTCCCAGACCGAGTCTATAAGCTACGAAGAAGCGTCTGGGTTAAAATCAAGTGGAGAAATATCGTGACGGCAGATAAGGGATTACTTGAAGGAGATTGTTCCTGGATTCCGAGAGATGACTTTACTCGTTTGTGTGGCAGTAAGAATGTGGCAGAAAGCAAACTGAGGGAAGCCTGGAACAGGCAGGAGGAACGCTACACTAACTGGAACCACAGACATGAATCTCAAGCGCCGCGTACCAGACAATGGCCTGCCCCATTTCCCTGGGATTTGACGTGAACGGCAACTAGACTGGTCTATCAGCACCAGTTTGTGACCAAAGGCAGATATTAGGCTCCTCGAGCATTTGAATTGACAGCTGGGTTGTTCATTGGTCACAGCCCGGCACCGAGGATTCCAGCACCGATTGTTGGTGGTCTGGTGTTTGTTGATCTATCAAAACAACGATTTTTACCAGCGCTATGTATCTAGCCTATATGGTAGTCAGGGCAAATGAACATAGCTATGAACATTCGAAGAGTTACAAGTATATCAGAGACTTTATCAATCTCCGTGCATGATTCTGCTTGAGACAGTCGCGTTTTCTCACGTGCCAGAACCGAAATGTCGGATCTGACTGAGGGCGGCAGGTTAATGCTACCCAACTCAATTCCCTGCTTTTTTTTTGGTATTAGACTACAATTAGGGTGCATCTGTGATGGTCTGTGGTGGGAATGGTGATGGCCAATCGCATCGCAACGCAACTCTGTCATAAACCCCAATAACTCTAGCAGTACTAAATTTCAGAAGTGTGAATTGGAGGATCTTCCATATGCAGTTCTCACATAATGGATTGACCCGGCTTTTCCTCCTGGAAGGCGGTGCGGCTTTTGAATAAAGGATAATGACTTGGTTGTGCGCGCGCACTGCTCTCACAGGCGAGGCAGGTTGGTTAATTGTAGCAGATTCAGACTGGACGAAATCGGTGACGCACGCTACTGGGTCACTGTCGTTCCGCCTAAGAATTTTCTTCGGATGCTATTGATGAGCCACGTGACAGGCGGAGACAGGAATGAGTCTTCGCCTTTATCCGCCCGACCCTGCTCCAGATCATCTGTCGGTGGGCTTTCCAGTACCACTGTGGCTGCCTGGTTATTTCCGTCATCCTCCGAGCGCTCGTCAACACTCATCTCGCCTGAACTCCACTCGTCGTCGCTGATCGGTTCAGGCCTTTCTGCCTCTTCTTCGAACTCCTCCCATTCTTCATCACTTGCCGTGTCACGTCCCACTCGGCTAATCAATTGCTTCCCTGATTCGGATCCCTCTGAGTACGCGTACATCACCAGGTCTCGCATAGTCCACTCATCCAGAGATCCCGCACGAGTATGATATATATTTTGTGCAACGGTGAAAAGTCGTTCCGCGCCAGCTCCTGTAGCCGGAATGGAGAGTAGATCTCGAGCCAGTCGAGTGAGAACAGGCCGTTCGCGTTGATGGTCTTTCCAGTACGCGCTGGGAGAGATATTAACGACCCCTGTTGTGTGTCAGTAGTCAACAGAAAACATTCGGAGGGATTGTTCAGACCTTCGCGGAGATATTGATCAATTTCATCTTGTCCACTCCTTGAGCCACCCGCCAGACCAGCTAGTGGGTGCAAAAGCCGGTCAAGCCCTAACAATTGCGGGGAACACGACAGTCCATTCACACAAGACAAGCTCGTGGGCATTTGCGGTCGGTACTGTAGGTGAAAGATCCTCAGATACTCGATGTAGCGCTCGGGACCGCCCAAACCTTGCGATGATGTGGCCTCGTCGAATGCGGACACCTTATATTGGGGAGCAACGAGAGTTCCAGGGCCATACATGACCCCAAAGCTTTTGAATGTCTTTTCGTATATTTCTCCAAATTCCATCTTCATGATAAGCGATGCCTCAAGTAGTTTGCGCTTCCACGGAGTTGATTTTCTTCTCAATATTTGGGTTGACTCGTCGAGATGGTCCATTAGTATCTTGAACACGAAACAGACCTTGTGGACCGTTGCCTCTTTCGAGACCAACAGGGCCGTAGTGAACTGGATGAATGGCATTATCAACTGGACAAGGTAGTCGACCTTGCGCCAATCCGTGTCTGTTAATTTGTACTGTAATTTCTTTAGTTCATTACCTACATGGATAAATTATTCTAGCTCTGACTGCTCCGTGCACACACCAGGTTTTCTCTATTTAGATTGATCTTTACAAAGCTCGTTGTACAGTTGTTTAGGATCTTTCTTGATGTCCTTGATTATTTCCTCCTTCCATTTCACCCACAAGGGAGTGTCTGGAGTCAAATTTGCCTTGTCGATCCAAGTTTGGTCCGGAACATCTTTAAACTTTCGGATGAGCGATCCATAAAGATTGGTTCGGGTTCTAACATTAACATCATGCTGTGCGACTTCCAGACGGGATATGCAAGAACGAGCATTCAACCGAAGCCCAACAAGCGTGTTGAGCTGACCGAGGATGTTCAACACGATGAACGCGACTTGGTCAGTAGTGGACCCATTAGGAATGGTGATGAAGATGAACAGCAGAAGCGCCATTGTTCCTATCCTGGTGAACCACTGGCAGTACCGCAGAGGGATTAATGACCAGAGACAGTCACGATATACCAGACCACGGCTGGTCCAATTCTTGATATCCTGACGGCTGCCTTCCAAGACAAACCCTGATGAGTCTCGACCAAGGATAAAAATTGCATCCACGGCACTCGCGTCGGAGATGTCAGAGGCCCCTCTAAAAGCTGGGATGACCATGGCCCATTCAATCAGCCGTAGAATAAGGGACCACGTATACAGAGCTAAACATATCGTCAATCCAATCCAGGTGGTCCATGGAGCTAGGACGCAGAATATGATTATTCCCACAAAGACAATCCAGGTAGTGAGTACCCAACACCAAAGGAGATATTTGTCTTTAGATGATCGGGAGCTATCCTGGCTCGCTTTTATAGACGCAGGTATTCGAAAACAAGTATATTGCTGGTCTTCGAGAAGCTTCTCTTTTTTGATCGCGTTTTCAAGTTTCATATTTCGCAGAGGCGCCTTCTTACACCCGTATGGGGAGAAGTATTCGAAAGAGCCAAGATCCAACAGAAATTCATATGAGCGAAGGTAAGCCTGCAAGCCTGAAACAGGAGCAGCGACCACTGATTCGAGAAATGAACGTCTCGCTAATCGATACTTTTGTTCTTCTCCCTCTCCTATCAAGACCATAAGCGCACTGACATCAAAGCTCCAGAACTGGGAGGATTCGGCGGCAGCCATTTGACGTATTCCCGCTCCAGTGAGAATTAGAAATAGATTTTCGTGATTTTGTAAAAAGTCTATTGTCGCGATTCCCGCGCGATGCATAAGGGTTGCTGATCTTGCGTGTTTGTTGAGTGTGGGTGTGTGTAGGAGGTCTACGCCTTGGCCAGCGGGGTCATCTGTTGGGATGGTCAGGTGACCCGGTTGTATACAGGGCATGTTTGATCGAGGCTCGCTCTCTCTCTCTCTTCCTTCTTTTCCCCTGTCCGTTTTTTTGCCTAGCGATAATTCATCTATTATTACGCATCTTGCTTCATTGTAGACTCATTATTCGCTATCATCATCGGACAAGGCTGTGCTGCGCATGAGGGCCTTCGCTAATCAAAATGCTCATATGGGCTTAGCTGAGGGGGAAGGATTCTGAAAGTCCCACTCTAAACGCTATGAAACCCCAATAGGTAATCAGCCTTGCAGATTCTAACGTGGCGGTGTATTTGTCGACTAGCGTCACCCAATCACTGGAAATCCTGCTGTCACAAGTGTGACTCAAAAGCACCCGGGTGTGTTTATTTGAGGCTGAAACAGCCTAACCCCGCACCCAGCAGACAACTTGAAGGTGCCCTGGACCCAACACTGATTCATTCAGAACCTATAAATAATAGAAGTAAGCCCGCATATGTTCTCCCATTGACCATTCCAAATTCCTGCCCGAGCTATACAAACATCATTTCCGAAGAGCATAATGTTTTCGCAGAAAGGGAAAAACGACGAAGCAAAGCACGAAATGAAATTCGACACCGGGCAACCATTTGAAAGTGTCGTTCATTCAGACGATGCATTCAGGACATGTCTAGAGAAATTGATAAAGTCTCCACAAAGTCGAGAAGCCTCTCGGGGGTGGGCAAGAAATCTTCGACTTCTGTATCCATTAAACGATCAGACTCGCGATAACACCGATATTCAAGTCCAAGATGTCTCCAAAGGCTTGAAATCCATGAATCCTTTCCGGTCCAACAAGAATGCGAGGCCACCGCCACAACCACCCAACAAAAACTCACAGGTCACAAATCTAGCACTGGCAGCTTCTAAGAGCTTCCCGGTGCCACCGCACTACGTCGCAATATCATATTGCTGGAACCGTAAGGGTAGCAATAACTACACAAAAGAAGAACTCGAAGGAACTGTATATGTTCATTCTCGGGGTAAAGAGACAAAAAAGGCCAAAGCCCCAGCAGTCGTGTTGCAACGTGGGATCAATTTCGCCCTGGCCCATAACATGAAATGCATTTGGATCGACCAAGAGTGTATCAATCAGAACGAGGGAGAAGATTCGCGAAAAGATAAAGAACTCGGTATCCAAGCAATGGACCTTGTGTACGAAAAGTCCATGCGACCAGTGGCCCTTCTGACGTCTATCATCCAAACTCAGGGGCAGATAAACGCTTTAGAGCAATTCTTGACCATTGCTGTGGATTTAAACAAAGAACAAGGTGACTTTTTGGACGTCTTGACTATCCTGGCAAATGATGACTGGTTTACACGTGCCTGGACCTTCCAAGAAGCCATCGCTTCTGGGAGTAAACATGGTATGTCGATCTTAATACGGCATAAGCCCGATCTGAAAAAGAACGATAGACTCATGGGGAAGATGCCGGGAGAAATCGAGATAGAGCTTGACGACTTGGCTTGGCCGGCTCATACGCTTCTGACGAATGTCAAGATGAAGTGCTTACAAAAACATGATGCAAACCTCCTAAGGCATCATCAAGATCTTAATAAAGTCTTATCCAAATTACTTGATGTCTGCCCCCAAAAGAAGAAGGATTTCACATACGATGGAGTCACGGCCTTGCAATTTCTCGAGAGGCGGTACAACAGTCGTGCCTCAGATCGACCAGCAATTCTAGCGAATCTGTGCGATTATCCTCAACGGATTAACACAATTGAAGCTGAAGAGCATCAAATCAGTCTGAGTGTCTGTCTCTTTTTACTCTGTATTATGAATGGAGATTTGTCCCTGGTTACCTGCCATCGCAACATTCGTCCCTCACAGCGTTTGGGCTACTCTTGGGGGCCCCATAGGAAAGAGTCTATTCGCTCGGCACTTTACAGCGGTTTTAATCTGCAAGAGTGGGGTGGAAATCCGCCTCGACTCGTTCGACCCATCTTGAGTAAGCGGGGTCTGCGTCTTTCTGGGTGGATCTGGAAGATTGGAGCACAGCTAGATCTTTCCCATATCAAACAGCTTACCACGAACTTCCCAATGGAACAGAGGAAGAATAAGATATGGGAAATTCTGACCTATTTGGTCAAACACGGCTTCAACACCGTAGCCGGGCTAGTTTGGTCAAGTCTCCATTTTTTCGAACATTTGGAATTCAACTCCACGAAGCATACATGGGAACAGAAGAGAGCGCACTTTGATAAACACTGTATCATGAACCGTCAAGAATCCCATCGTCTACTTATTGCCATAACGCAGAGCGGCACGATTTCACTCGGGTATAGAGAATCGGATACCGGAAGAAAAACACAAAGTTCACCTGATAAAGCCAAATACCAGGCCATTTTCTATTCAAAAATGGATGTTGGTGCCATGGTTCTCACACCAGAGCTTGCGGGCATCCAGGAGGGCAAAACTCATCGAAGCCTCTTTTCTCCTGTCGCGTGGGAGCTCGATAACCCATCGGCTCCAATTTCAATTGAGAAGGTTCTCAAGGCAAAAAGTCAGACGAGTGGTGTTTATTCGACTCAAGATCCTTCCAAACAATATACACTTGCCTAGGGCTGAGATCGATGTATTTACATTAGATAAAATAATGTATTTTTTTTCTTAGGTAGACTTCATAACAGACAGTACTCTTACTTCTGCTCCGAGCCGTACCATGGAAGACATACTATATCTTTAGATACATACTATGTCTTTAGATACCACTACTAGGTAGTAGTATAATAGAAATCATATTAGCTATATAGTATATGTATACTGTCTTTTATAGTTGGTACTTAGGCTATACTATAGGAGAGATATAAGTTATTCGTCTAATTCAAATACACATACTTGTTCAAATTAGGGTGGTCCAACTAGCACAACTCAACTTTTCACTTTGTTGCATCTTCTCTTCTCTAATATGCTTAGTCAGCCATACAATCGTCTTCTTTGCAACTTGCAACTTTTCAACTTTTCCAAGTTTCTCCTCGACTTTTACTGTCGCCCCTTGAAGATGCTGCAGATGCAGATAATAATTTGTATAGCTTCTTCCAGTGAGTATTTCTATACCACCCAGCGCATAACATAGTATATTATTTCCAACTTCACCAACACTCAACCCGCCCGCCTTGCCCCCACATTCCCACTGACTGGCTGGACCGGCACACTCCAACCTCCAACCTCCAACCTCTGCTGACTCCCTCCTTCATCCAGTTGTTGCGGCTGTCAACAACTTCACCCCCTCAGTATAGGGCATCCTTGCCCTCTACTTTGATACTTCCTCACACTCGCTCATCCCCGCCATGTCGACTGGACGCAAGGTGTTTCACTGCGCCGTGGATGAAACGGCTTTGACCACCAACATCAGCGAGATCAAGAAATGGACCACCAACGGAGCCATCGATCTTATTGTCCCTCTTTACAGTAAGTTATTTCCGTCTGCATTGATATCGCACTATTTCTTTGAAGGGAGCAAAGCCTTTGCCCGCCCTAGCCTCAACCGCCTGGGACCTTGCTGACTGAATATCTTCTCCACCAGCCCTCGAGCGGCTTCATGCCTTAAAGCGGGCGGGATCGCAAATCGCCATCAATGCCCGTGAGGCTGTTCGCTTCCTCGACCGAGTTACCTCCGGTAAAGATCAAATCACCGCCGATCGCGTTACTCTACAAAGACCGAATGAACAATACGATAGCTGGGACGATGCGGAACAGTTCTTTCTCCCCGAATTCGAAGAAGAGCCTGAGCCGATAGACGCAGTCGACCAATCTCTCTCTCCGCCAGACTTTCAACAAAGCAATCCTCTGTGAGGCTATAATTTGCCTGCTTAGAGATAAATGGTCTTATATCGAGGATTGAAATATGATGTAGCAGACTGAAGGAACCATTTGAGCCAATTAATACTCCTTCTCTCAGAGCGTCTAACGTAGGACAGCTCGATATTACTGCGTTAGCGCCTTCACTCCATAGGTGCTTTTGGAGCGGCTCTTGAAGAATTATTAGTAGGCCGCCCGTATCGAAAGGTCCCGCAAGGCATCTCGTTACGTCTATTTCAGCGTAGATGAAAGGCGCAAATGATCGTAACGAGAGTCGATGGTCGAAGAGCAGTCAAGCTGCGCCGTAAGAGTCATATTGTGGTGTATAATAGAGCATGAAAGCTCCTCGACTTCCATATTACTGAAAGTGTTTTCTTCCTTAGAGCTCTTCTGTAGCTTCTCCAGCGAATTTTGAGGATCGAATTCTGCGCAAATAGACTGAGCCTGTGCGAGACCTGTTGCGGGTGAATCGGTGCTTCCAATCACTTCTCCAAATAGAACTGTTGATGATGCCGTCCGTAGTCCACAAAAAGTGAGTGCAAATGTGAGAAGCATTCCAAGAAAAATGGCTAGGCGCATCCATTTCTGTCGATTAATGTTACAGATTAAACGGCGGCCAAGAGGCCAAATGGTAGCTGGCGAATATTCCATTTTGACGCTCGGCTTCTATGGTCTCGACTGCACGGCTGCGTAGCTCACACTTTCCTCACCCATTCGAAATTCAAAAGAAGGAAAGTCAACAATTAATCATGATTCAGGTCTGTTTTCGATGGGGTGCGGAAGCAGCAGATCAAGAGTTTTCAGAGCATTAGTCCCTACCTCATTTACCGGGTAGCCGGCAATCTCTCTTTTTCACCACCTGCTTTCATTCCCCGCTTTCACCAACTGCTTTCACCATCCGGTTTTCATCCGCAAAATGCCTGTGGAAATTATGGATCGATGATTGGTTGAGAAGAGCAATGAGGAAGCCGGGCGGAATCGATTTGAGCCAACCGTTGAGATTATGGCTGCAATTGCGAAAAAAGATAGTCGAACCGATAATTTAGAAAAGCCTTGAAACTTTAGGTTCATGGAAATAGTTCAGCAATGAAACGTAAAAGTCATTCAAGCCAACTAATTCACGAATGCCGAAGTAGCTAAAGCCTTTACTGAGGTGTCTATTCTTTAATGATGTCTTTCAACCAGCGACTTCAACGACTTTTGTCAGAAAGATGCTCTTCGTATCTGTCAAAGTTTCAAATAGAGATAAAATTTACAGACCTTGCCAAACACTCATTATATGGCTAATCTTTTTTGGCTAAGGCTCGTAGGAAATTCAAGACAATGAGCCCCTCAAAAAAGCTGAGGGTCTAGGAATAGCAACATGACAGGTGGATCAAGTATTTACACTAAACTGAGGGCCCTTTCAATTGAATGATGTCTACTAAAAGATGCACTACATGATAAATTTGTCCTTCCCGTCAGACGTATTTAAAGGACACTATGCTGCTCATTCTCGTGAAATAAATTGACAGCCTCTCAATTCACTTTCTTTCATCTGGAATACTACAACGTTTATTAGCCGGTACATGTATTCTCCAAGGCCACAAGGAACACGAAACTAACACAGCTGATTCTTCAAGAGACCAGAAGGGTTCTATTTCATTCACCATGATTTCAGCCCACGGAAAGGCTGGGAACCGTAGCCTACGATATTCCGCTGGTAATTCTTTCCACTTTCTTCTAGACGACGTTTCGCTAAATTTGTCTGTCTAAGAGAATCCCCAACCTAGAACCATATTTAATTTCGAGAATATCACTCATCCCGCTACTCACGAAAGTTCCGACGGATGTGATCGGCAGCAGCCACCGTCCGATACTGCTTCTGAAGCCACGTCGGTCGCCCCCACCGTCATGAGTCCAGAGGATTCAAAGACAATGAAATATACCCTAGAGGACTGCGATGCACCTGAGGCCTGCGAAAAGGGAAGAAAGGGCTCTGCTCACTGCTGGAAATTCTGTACGCAAACAGGGGCTGCAGACTTGAGCGCAGATTTCAACCATTCTTCTTCGCCCTCAAATGATCGCACGTATGTGGGCGTGAGAAAGGAATGTCTCTCGTCGGGATCTTTCAAAAAGCAGGCGATCAGCACCGAAGTGATCGAAATTACGATCAGATATCTTGAAATGATTGCTAACTATCTTGATCCTGCATTTTCAGAGGGCTCATGTGAGACGAAGACGGCATTACAACTCATGACTCACTTGCTGCAGCACAGGTACAAAGAATTCATCAATACAAATGAAGCCATTTCTGCTCATATGGAGCTGGAGAGCTTCTGACAAGCTAAATTTATCTGCACAAAACGTACTGACGCCGATGGGGAACATTTACAATTCAATATATCACGACACGAATCCACATTTGTTGTGTTGTTTTAAATGCCAGGTGGAAGGAATTCTGGGGGATAGATCAAAATGAGGAGAAAGACTCTCAAGCTATTTTTTATAATTGAGTGTCTTCAGATTGGACAAACTTTAGTCAGTATTCTATGCTTCGACATGCCTGGCTGTCCGTTATGCATATAGTAGGACCAGCCGAACTTTTAATCCAGGCTAGTCGCCCTGTTATCTCTTCAACCGGATCTACGGGCAAGCTTTGTTCTATAACTTCCTCCAGAGGTAAAAGAGAAGCCAAATGTCAAAAAACTGGTCATTTCTCGATACAGCAAAAGATTATTTTCAGTTTGCCCTTGCTCTTCTCTGTAATTTTCTCGTACGGCATTTCTATGCTTCTCATCTCCAGCTGACCAACGAATTAGTGATGCAGGCTATATTCTGATTCGGCACTACTTTACAGGTCTTACTAGGAAAATTCTCAAGTGGGCCTTGCCGAGACCTGAGATAATCGAAGAAAACAAATCGTGCTGTGTCTAGGGAACATTATAAACCGCACCAGCGAAGCAGAAAAGATCTCCAGATTTGTTTCTTACCTCGTGAGGATCAGACGGAATCTTCAAGTCTGGTGGAAAGAAAGACGCGGAGAAGTGTAAGGCCCTAACAACGTCTTTCAACGATCGGCTTCAACGATTTTCACGATGAATGCCCTCAAATGCTTACTTTTGCGCTCCCCTCGACGACTGCCTGGGAATGGTATGGATAAGCATTTCCGAAAATTTCATTCAACGCGCTTGTACATTGAATTTCGAAAGTGAATAGATTTTTTCAACGAATTCAATCCTTCAACGATTGCTTTAGCTTGTACCGTGGATGCTTCAACGATTTTCTGGAATTATTTTTCGCTTGGGTGATATTTTATCAAACCTCCGGCGACTCTCAATACCTTCAATGATCCAAGCGTTTATCCGATTATCATTAGACTGGTATTCTTCAACGATTCCCTTCAGCTATGTCTTTCACCGTTTATTTGGTCAATTTTCAACGACTTTCTTCAACGACTTTCTTCAACGACTTTCTCCAACAGCTCCCGTTTACAGCACGAGTCAACAGCCACCAGCAACGACTCTTTCAACGGTCGGTTTCACCAACTACTCGATCAACTCGGCCAACAAACACCTCCGTTTACTCCTTCAACGACGCTCAAAATTCTGTCCGAGGTAAGCCTTCAGCTCGGCGAAGGTCTCCTCTGATGCGGTTTATCGTCTAGCACAGCCTGAATGACTTTTTCGACATAGTTATCCGCCGTAAACTCTCCGAATAGATCGGCCTATTCTGGGTAGTCGTAGCGACCCAATTTCTTTAGGTATCAGAAGGTTTCCGAAAGGTAGATGCGAGATAAAGGCAGCGGTGCGGTCGAATTTGCGCCGGACATTATCTTGGAGGTGAGGGACTTCAGACCAAGGAACTATGCGCTTAGGGTAAGTCAATTGACTGGGACAATTGCGTCACAATTTAAGTCGTGGGCACCCTTCAGGAGAGAGGCATTGCGTGTCTGGATGTTTACCAGTTTACTCACTCCTTGCGTAAGAGCTAACTGGTGCCTCAGGCACCAACACGCTTTGGTCTTTCGTGCGTCACCCTGTGCTGACTTTCAGTCACTGCTTCCAAAATACATGCCGAAGCGATGATTGCTCGCTTAACTACACGGGATTGCCAATACATAGATGAATTCGGTCCAGTTTCTGAACCCTGAATAAGTTTGGTCAACGGTGTTACCTGGCCAGCTCACCAGACTTCGTTATCACGGCGGCTGGCTCATCACATTAATTCCAAGGTACTCTGATTACCCTCTGATTACCGAGGATTCAAATATCTAGGCAAGGTTGGCTCACCAAGAACGCCGAATATATCGCAGCATGACGGCCAAGCAGTAAGCGTTCCGATCAATACGCAAATCAAAGATGTGAACGAGCCTCTTAGCCCCCGTCACCGGTTGCGAGGCGCGACGAGAGAGGGCGTTCTCGTCTACGTCGGCGCTTACTTGACTGTGATTCAATCTTCAAAACCAATATATCCTTCGAGCTGGGAGGTAATATCGGTAAGCGACTATTTATCAGGACTGATTATGCAAAAATGCAAAACAATGTCAGATGCCTCGTACCTTGTTTCCTGAACACATATTGGCTGTTTCACCGTCTGATCAGCACGCCGGCACATCCTATCTTATGTTTCAGTTGAGCGACCGGTGGCAAAAGATGTCGCTTCTGTTTTGTCTCCACGGGCCACGCCCTTGCTGTAAGCTAGAACGCTCATGCGCTTTCCTATATTATGAGCTCGAAGAGGCAACATGGGGTAATATTTCACGACAAGAAATTTCATTTCGGTCTACTACCTCCTTGTCCTGGGGGTGGTCCGCTCCTTTCTGGATTTCGGGGCAAACTCGACGTGGAGGTTGTATCTGAACAGCTTTGTAGTTTAGAAAGCGCTTCATCACGAAAGGAAATAGTTCGTACAACTCCACGGGGGATATTTGAAGCTGAGACCCCAGACTTGCGAAGCCGAGCCGCAGAATGACGCTCAATCTTATGAAATGGCTCTTCAGCGGCCCGTTTTTGGCGAGCAGGCGTATTTCTCAAGCAGCGACCGCCTCGCCAGTAAGAACTTGCAGTATCTTTCGTAAGTGAAGGCACATCGCCGATTTCTTCGTCAGGGAAACAAGGTGACAAGGGGTTCAGTTGAGTGGATTTGTCTTCTGAGTTAGCTTAGCATATTTCCTCAGAACTGTTGAAGAAGGTGTATGTAGTTTGCCATACATACTATTTGGGTTCTCTTTCTCCGTCAACAGCCTATGTCGTCTCTTAAAGGCGTGGCTGCGCACTTCAGCAGCCGGAATACGTCTCTTAGCGGGCCCGGTGATTGTGGTATCATGGTGAACATTGGAAAAGGGAAGGCGACGTCTATCGGGGAATAAACATGGCGCTGAGGATGGTAGGCGGGAAGAATCGGGCACGTCCGGGGAAGACGAAGGTTCACGGTATTGGCCTTGAAACTCGTGGTGACCAGCAAAATAGGATCGAAGCCGGCTCTTTCTCTTCGTCCTATTTGAATTACGCACGAGACACGCATCGAGACTATGGAGAAAGCCTAAAGACTGGTCCTCCATCTTCAAAAGGATACGTGGTGACACTACTGTATCAAGGGTCTATGCGATCAAACTTGGGACGGCCCAGCCGTTCAGCTATTGGTCACGTGAGTGGACTAGCGCGCGGCACAGGGGTGATGGTCATTCGTCAGTCAACATTGAAGAGCGCCCTGATCACGGACCGGCGTTTCATCTATTCCTGTTGGCGTCTACGTACAAGATATTTAAAATGCGTGTCTCTGTCTTTAGCTTCCTCTATCATCGCGAATGTTATCTTGACAAATGAAGCAATGTCCACAATCGAATCCCCCCCTCTTCGCCTCGCTCACGAGAGGCAACAACCGAGCCAAATACCCCGGAAGCTCTAGATAGCACTGGCCAGTTTGCAATGTTGATCCCTATGAATAAAAATGCCCGGTCAGCCATCGAGGCAACAGCCCGGTCAAGCTCTGCATACCATCAACAGTTCATCGGCGAAACTGTTATCGACAATAAGGTCACGAAATATTTCAACCTATCATTAGGTAATTTGCCTCAATTCGCCCAAATAGGATGGAGAATCGGTAGAGGTCGCGGATCGCTCCAGAATGGAGCCACAACGTATCTCCTAGGGACCTCTTGTACCCAGGAGACAGAAGTTTTGCATAGCTTTGCCATGTTTTTTTGCTCCTGGAAGGCAGCTCTTTCGCCCTAGGAGCATGGTGCGCGTAGGAGAATTTGTCGCTAGAGACACTTCGAGGGCTTGTCATTTGAGTGCAAGGTCGAGAATGTCCTGAGTGAACATGATCGAGATCCTCGAAGCTTCAATGCTTATTATTGTTACTGGAATGCAAGTGGTATCCCATCGAGGAAGTGAAGATTGAATACGGCTCTTTACGTCGATATAACTTTTGTATGATTAATCCTTGCCATCGGGACGTGGTATAAATATAGCTGCGGCCTGTTCTTTTCTCATAGGTTATCCTCAACCGCTCCTCTCACTTCGACTCTGATTGTTTTCACGTCTCAAATAGCCACACAAAATCTCTCAATGGTAAATTACATCGCGCAGAGTAGATCGTGGGATAACAGCACTGACTTTTCGCTCAGTCTAGCATCGAGGAATTACGCACTCGCTTTTCGGATGCTCTCTCTCAAGAAAGCGTCGAGGGTTTTTTGGATGTTTTGGAATGCATGAATGCAAAGGTCGATATATCGGACACTCAAGGTCGAACAATGCTATGGTACTATGTTAAGACGCGTGACTATAAGAAAGTCGAATTTCTTATTAAGTGTGGCGCAGACTCTACTGTGGCAGACTGCGAAAGGGTGACGCCCATTCATGTCGCTTTAATGCAGGGTGAATTCATCGACGGCATCATAGCGGGGATGTTACTGCATTCCCGACCGACTGTGTCTGTATCCAAGATGCTCCAGAACGGCCCAAGTCTTGATGAACTTTTTTCAGTCCACGCCAATGCTCCTGATAGCGCCAATGCCATGCAGCTTCTTCTGGAGTTGGGTGCAGACGTCAATATTGTTCTTAACCAGGATCACGAAACGCCGTTGATACGAGCAGTGCGCTACGGTGACCTCAAAGTCATCAAAGTACTGCTAGAGCACAGGAACATCAATCTCTACGCGAAAAACCGGTATGGGTACACGGCATTACATGTTGCTACTTGTGACAATCAGCTAGGTGCAGTCGATTTGCTCCTATCTAGTGAACGCTTTGATGCAAATTGCGGGGACCACCAAGGCAACTCTGCCTTCTGGCTATCTGTACACCTCGGGCGTGACGATATCAGCGAGCGGTTTCTCAATGACCGTAGAGTGGATATCAATTTCAGGGGTAGCACCAATCCACGATGGCAAACCACAGCTCTCTACATCGCCTGTTTTCGCACGAATGTCCGGATGGTCTCCTGTATTCTTTCATCGACACATTTACACAGAGTGAATCCAAACATTCAAGGAGAAAACAGAAAAAGTCCTCTTGGAATTGCTGCGTACCAAGGCGCCTATGAGTTAGTGAAAATGCTGCTTCAGGTAGACGGTATCCAGATCAACGCAAATGACGAAAAAGAAGACGATCCTCTGTGGCTGGCAATTCAAACGCGTTCAATGTCGGTAGTTGAACTTTTCTTGAGCGACAGTCGACTTGACATTAATTGCCAGAACAACCAAAAGGGAGATACTTATCTCATTGCCGCGGTTCGCAATGGCAATCTTTCCCTCGTGAAAAAGCTACTCGAGTTTAAGAGCATTGAACCTATGAGAAGGAACGGGGAGGACCAAAGTGCGCTAGAGATCGCCCATGAACTAGATCACTCCCACATCGTTCAGATAATGGCCGGCAGAGGAATAGAGTGCTGATAGATCTCTCAATTAATGGAACTTGAACAAATGTGGACCTGGGCTTTGGTAAAAGTCAGTACTATAGTCTTCAAATGGCCTATATAGCCATCTAATCAAAACCATCTTGTCTTTCATCCCATCGATCCAGCTCTTTTTCCTCGACGAGAAAGGCAATATTGGTCGTTACTGTATAAATAACTATCGTCCCATCCAGTTTTCAGTCAGCATCACAGTACCCCGTATCCACACGCCTCTTGAAAGTGTCAAAATCAAGCGCGTACATCTAGATTCGAAATTGTTGTAGGCCAAGAAAATCACCCCTCGCCCACCGTGGGCCAATTTTGAGTGTAATCTGATGCATGACTCAGATTCCTGAGGATTCTGCCACATTAAGTCCTTGTTATTTACATCGTGGTCAGCACCTCTGCGCCCTTCTCGCTTTCACCCCCTCTCTTTCACCACCCTCTCTTTTACCACCCTCTCTTTCACCGCCTTCTCTTTTCACCACCCTCTCTTTCACCACCCTCTCTTTCACCACCCTCTCTTTCACCTGCTTATTTATAAAGTGATGCTTCAACGTTTATGTTATTGAGAGGGATTGGTCGTGTGTCTAAGATATAACTAAGTTGAGAGATTGGTATACATGTATGCACGTGATGCCAACCTCATTATTATCTCAGAAACCGGGATATTCCAAGAGGGGTGGTGAAAGGAGCTGATGAAAAAAGGGGGTTAGTGAAAAGATAGGGTGGTGAAAAGAGAGGGTGGTGAAAGGAGAGGGTGGTGAAAAGAGAGGGAGAGCGGTGGGTGGATTTTTGGGGTCATCCGCTGAGCGTTCAATCACTTCGCTCACTTCTATATCGCAAGGTCATGAATTGAACTGGTATCTTAGTTGGAGCAGAATAGTGATAACCTCGAAATGGCGTTGAATTGATGAATAGAAGAAAGGGTAGCCGACCGCAGACAACGATTCAGATATCTGATCAGTGATTAAAGATCTTAGCTCTGACCCCTAAAGCTGGCTAGTAGATTGTCGTTCGGATAGCCTTGACGAACGCTCGTTCAGAATGCTTTTACGACCGCAATAACTGGGACCGCGTAGTGGCGGATTACGATAGAGTGCATGCAGTATACCCACTTGTCTTTCGCCTCAATCGCTGAACACATGCCACTTCTTGGGTGAAAAATACAGCTTTTCCTGAGCCAGTCATTATTTGAGGGAATGAGAATGTCAGAGCGTCTTTTTCCATAGTCGGCAGATGACTAGCGATATGGACTTTAGGTTGATTCAGAGATCAGGAAGACAATACAAAACAAACATCTGACAATACAAATACATTACACGGGGCTCGTTAATACTGAAAGCATGTGCATGTGGCGGTGCAGTGTACCGTTTTGTAACGATATGGTACAGTTATGTAACGTGGGTCTGGCAATCACTTCTACTGTATTCTAGTAGAATCAACTGATGCATTGCGCCGGAAACATAAGTAATTGATGACATATGAGGCAAATAAGTTAATTATGTATTACGAAGCATCGTATTGCCTTGCTGTTATCATCGCTACAGGTATTTACTCGGTTCGTTTCCCCAACGACAGACAGCAAGGTAAATCCGAGCAGCCCTAGGAGAAATGGCGTTTTTGGAGCGTTTAGAGAAATTACGTACTAGTAAAACTTGTCCGTTCACTGATCAATGATCGCTTAATCAAGGCACAGGAGACATGATGAAGATGCTCGTCGAACACGAAAGTAAATAAATGCGCATTGTATATACACTGTACATCTTCGGTGGGATGTGATGGGCTGAGGGCGGTTAGTGTCAGATAAGATTGATACTTTTGGCTTTTGCCCATCCTACTTGATCTCCAACACCCCCGCAAACCTATCAGCATGAAACCGGGCAAATGTTCGATTTCTTGTCTTTTTTGAAGACCACCTAGCAATTTTGTTCGCTCATGCAATTACGACTTTAGGTGAAAAAACAGTATGAGTAAGGACTTAATATAGTTTCTGCGAGTCACTGCTCTGCTCTCCCTCGATCGCAATTATAAACTAGAAGTCAAGGCGACGGTGTAATCTAAACGTGGCGATCGCCCGCAGAATGTTTGCTGACATCCTACTTGAAGGTGACGGCTAGTCCTTTGTTGACCCTATCCAAATCTTGGACAGTTATAAAATTTGGCTTGGGGTAGTAGGCGCACTTCAAGAATTAGCAGCCTCTTCTGTGGATAGCGGAGCTCGTGGCATACCAGTTGTGAGGCAAGGAAAGCCCAAAACCCAGAATCATCTGCTGTCAAAATATGTACCTGACCCGTCTCTCGCAAACGAATACCTACGCATACATCCGCGTCGCACATCTTGCTGTACTCGGACGCCTTCTTCATGAGAGTTGCTTTGCGACGGCATTTTTTTTGTCTCTTCGATTTCCTGGGGCTCATAGAGGATACCGACTTAACAGCGGCCATTGTGAACTGGAGACTTGGCTTTTTGAATGGCTAGGGGTCGGAAATCGTCTTGATCAAACCGAGATCGTACTGTTCTCATAAACATTGATATCTCCATGATTAAATGCAAGATTAAATGTACCACTAAAAATATTAGGTAGTTGGTCTTTGCACATGCTCTGGTCATCATGGAAAGAAAGACGATAGTGATTATTTGTTGGCATCAACTACGTGCGGCAACGATGAAAGTGACAGCATATTTGTAAATCCTGCTCAAATATGCCGCAAGATTTGGTCGGGAATCAACGCAAATATCATATATTTGCGGGTTGTCAAATTTAAGCGTTGACTCTCAACAAGAGGCTGTTGATTGCCGACTCGACGTTAGATGAGGTTGGCGCTATTACGACTCCTTCACCAGAGATGCATGTTTGCCAATAGCTCCTGACTCGCTCTAGGGGCGCCAATTACCCACGAAGGCAAGCACGTCCACGTTATTACCCCACTATGGTATGAATCTTCCGTGTTCAGAAATGAACTGTTATGTCAACTGTTGAGGTACGTGCAAAACCACCTCGATAAAGAGACCGCGATGAATCGGCGACCGCTGTGAGTTAACCCTTTTTTGCACTCGTCCAAAACCTGTCCTTAATGTTCAAAGGCAGGCCTGAAATCCACAAAAAGAGAACATAACGGCTCTTTGCGAGCTGCTGTTAAACGATATATTCTTTTCGTACTCATTTTTAGCCATAGTACTCGCCCATCACTTGAGTTGATGGCCTCTCGTTCAGTGTGGAGGCGGTGGAATGCAGTTTTTCGGAATAAAGGTTACCCGGTCCCAACAGGATTTTGCCAAAGCCGGTGAAAGTAAATACCTCATTGATGCTCATGTTTCACCGCAACACATTTCTGAGTAATTCATTTTGCTACAGGGTGTGTGTGTGTGTGTGTGTGTGTTTCATTTACCCTGACCCCTCGCAATGAAAAGCGATATGCAGGCTACCACAACGATATATATCTCTGTATGTACATGTAGAGTGATCCACTTCCTGAAAACGAACTTAGAGCCTCGTCAAGGCCTCTCGTGGCCTAATTGCCGTTCCCATTGTTAGGCTGCCCCCGTGGCGCGCGACTGCGAAACCGGTGTGACGCCTCAGCGAAGTCCAGCACGGCCTGGGCCGTCCTGGCTCGCGAGACGGTGTCTGGTTTACCTTTCTCACCTTGTTTTGAGCCTCCCAGCAGACTCGATACGCTATTAAACGCGTCCCCCACTTCTCTCCTCAGGTTTCTTCGCAGCTCCACCAGCATTGGGCAGTCCACAAGCACGTGGGTGACTGTTTCTTGCGCGCCGCAGTCGCAGCGGTCGTCGTCGCCGTAACCAATCTTCTTGCGGTAGGTGGACAGCCAGTTGTGGCCCGTGCGCAGCTGCGTCAGCAGGTACGCCCGGCCCCTGGGCAGACTTCCGTACAGCTTCCTGGTGTGCGTCGCCGGTAGAGTGTCGTCAATCTTCCGCAGATGACCGCCTTTACTGGATGTTCTCCATTCATGCTCCCACTGAGCGGCAATATTGCCACGGATTAAAGCCTTCTCCCTTGTAAGTAGCGAGCGGAAGGGGTGGGACTTGCCGGGGCTGGCGGCGTGCTTTGCCATTCGGTCCGCAGCGTCGTTGCCGGGATTGTTACAATGTCCTGGCACCCACTGGAGGCGCAGTGCGATATGTGCTGCTTGGACCTCGGTCGCAGCTTGGTGGATCGCGTGAACGATCCGTTGTCCCGACTTGTTTCTTGCGCTCTTGATTGCTTGTAAGGCAGACCTACTGTCACAGAGAATTGTCGCAGTTTGTCGATCTTCCGGTGTTGGTCGCTGGTGGGCCATCTTGAACACGGTGCCGACCGCGTGATAGATGCCTATTAGCTCCGCCACATGCACCGACCAGCGGTCCATCGGTCCAACCTGGATAGGTTGGGATTCAACCATCTCCATGTCCTCGTTAAATGCTACTACAGCGGCCCCTAAATGGCCGTCGCGTCCTGAGGCGTCCGAGTAGACGACAATGTCTGTTGCTGAGCGGATGGCCTCGGCCTGTTCTCTCGCTGTCTCTCGGTCTGAACCGACTTCGATCTCCACGAAGGGATCGAGGCGCCATGGTGCCAGTGGCCGTGGATCGATTGTCTCTAGTTCGTTGAGCCTTTCGAAGTCCATGGTCTTCAGCGCTTCTGCCAGTGGGAAGCGAGCATACGACCCGATATTGTTTCTACGTTTTTGAGCTCGCGAGAGAGTCTCCCAAATAGGATGTTCCCGCGGTAGTGTATGGAGGTTTGCAATGGTGCGTTGCGCTCGGTGGCGAAGGCGGAGATGGGTGGGAAGGATATGTGCTTCTACTTCGAGGGTTGTTGTAGCTACCGTTCTGAATGCCGACAGGATGCGAACCAGTGAGGTTCTCTGTACTGTGTTGAGGTGTCGAAGATGGGTTTTGTCTCTTAGTGGATCGTGCCAGACTGTTGATGCATAATCCACGACTGGCGTGACGCATGATTGGTAGAGCTGTCGCATTTGTTCTGGGCGCAGATGTCGTAACCCGCCCAGAGCAACAGTGACTTTGGTTGCGCGCTTAATCGCTTGCTGCACGTGTTCTTTCCATCGCATTTCCTGGTCGAAGCTCACACCCAGTAACTTGGCTACGGGAGAGGGTGAGACTGCTGTGCCGTTCACTACTATTTGACCCTGTAGGTGCTCAGCTTTCTTTCTGGTTAGGTGGATGAGCTCGGTCTTCTGGGTTGCGAAGCAGGACCCAGTTTTGCGCGCCCATGCCTCGATGCGGGGGATGTCTTCGGATTGAATCTTTGCCAGATTCTCCTCTGCTGAGCGGCCCACTCTCCAACGAAAATAGTCATCGATGAATGCCGAGGCGCCACCGTGAAGGGTGACGGGTTGGTCCACTAAGTCGGCGTTGAAGAACGCGAAGAGTATGGGGGAGAGAGGGGACCCTTGTGCCAGTCCCGCGTTCTCTAACGGTGATACTCCGGTGCGGTAGTCGTCAAATCCTATACTAGCGCATCGGTCGCTCATAAAGCTCGCTATCCATTTTCTGGCTATGGCGGGGATTCCTCTAGCTCGCAAGCAAGCATTGAGACTTGCCCGTTGGACTCCATTGAAGGCTCCTTTCAGATCAAATGAGACAAGAGTCACAACTCTATGCTTGTACCATGCCCGGTCTATCGCGTTTGCGAGTACCAGCAGGGCCTGTTCGGTGGTCCTTCCTGGACGCCCACCGAACTGAGTATCCGGTAGCAGATCATGTTTTTCTGCGAGGTATGACAGTCGTCGGGCTACTACTGCTTCGAGAAGCTTTCCTAGCGTGTTGAGGAGTGAGATCGGGCGATAGGCTCCGGGGACCGAGTAGTCTGGCTTCCCGGGTTTCCGTAGCACCACGATCTTCGCGTTCCGCCATCGTTTCGGGTGATACCCTAAATTCACTGATGCGTTGAATATCCTGGTGATGTCGCCCCTCAGATGTTCCCACAACTGTTTCCACACCTGCATCGGTATGCTGTCTTCTCCTGGTGCAGTGGTCCCTTTAGCAGCTTTAAGGGATCGCTGAATCTCTAGCTCGGTGATAGGCTGCCATGGGAGCTCCATTGGTGTCGGTGTCGTTGGGTTGGGATCGGGGGTGTTCATCTCAGGGAAGAAAGCGTCCAGGAAAGCCTGCGCTTTTTCTTGGTTGTCGATGAACTCCTGTTCGTCAACCTGCAGAGCCGGGACACAACCCCACGTCTCCCTTGGTTTCATGTAGGTGGCCGCTTTCCAGAGTTTTCCCTCTCCGGCTTCGTCTAGAAATTGTCTCCAATGTGATGCTTTGGCTTTCTCGATCGTCCGAGTCCACGCTCGTCGGCTTTGCTGCATCTCTTGGAAAGCAGTTGTGGAATGAGGATGATCTCGCCCGAGCATTCCACAATATTCCTGCCATCTTCGACGAAGTTGATTGACTTTGGTTTGTTGGACTTTGAGCTCTGGCGTAAACCACCGTTTGGAGTACGGTGTCGGGCGTGTGTCAGGTGTAAACTTATTGACACTTGCCGTTGTTACCTCAGTGAGGTTTTGGACGGCCTCGTCAAGTGCTGGTCGAGTTTTTATTTCTTTCCACGGGCCGATTCGCTGTATCACCTCTTCGCCAATCTCGTTCCAATCCGCACGTTCGTAGGTTTTCCTTGTCTGCGTGGTTCGCTTGCTGTGGGCTTGAAGATTCCACTCGGAGTACGTGGCGCGGTGGTCGGATCCGTAGTTTTCGTGGTAAAGATGACACTTGATGAGTAGCTCTGGCCGATCCGTTACCGTTTGGTCAATGGTGGATTTCCTCCCTGGGTCGCTCAGCGACCAGTAGGTTGCAGTTCCCCGAGGCAAGCAGCTGTGGAGACTGTTCGCTTGAAAGAACGTGATCAGGTCGCTAGCGTCTTCGATAAACCGTGGTTGAATGTGATTGCCGCCCCACATTGGGTGATGGCGGTTGAAGTCTCCGCTGAGAACGATGTTCGTGGGTCGTTGATTGTCTCGTAGGGCGGTTGTGATTGTGTTTTGAATTGCTGTGAGTGCGGGTTCTGCTGAAGCTTCGGCGTCCGTGCACAGAGGGACAGATGGGATGTAAACGGAGAAGAAAAGGATTTGGAAGTCAGATGTCCAGATCGTGATAGCAGCGACATCTGGGTGGTCGCACAGGATTTGTCGGTGTGACGATGTAGAGACCCTCCGATTCACATAGATCAGGCTGCGAAATCGGGCTGCGTCGGTGTCGGTTGTCGGACGGTAGAGGCGCCACGAGCTGTGGTTGACGTGGTTGCGATAGGTGGTAATGGACGGTTCCTGGATCAGGAGTACATCCAGGTTTTGGCTTTGGTGATCGTTAATGAGGGCCTCCATTCTTGGTCCCGATTTCATAATGTTCAACTGTAGTATTCGTAGGTTTGTCTCTAACATTGACGGGGTTGACGGGGTTTGAAAGATGCGGGGGTCGCACACTGTCGGTCTCCTGTTGCGTGTTCTCCGCTGCAGTCGAGGCACCTCGCTCTGACGCCCGGTGGGCATCGTTGCCGTTCATGTTGGCCCGCGCAATGTCCGCACCTTGGTGTTTCCTTGCATGACCACGCTAGGTGTCCGAAACTTTGGCATCGGAAGCATCTCTTTTTCTTGATCTCGCGGCGTTCCACACTACCAATGTATCTCTGGCCCACTAAAAGACCGTTGTTGAGGATGCGTTCAGCTCCCTCCGCTGAGTCGAACCAGATGCCAAGCGATGCGAATTTCCCTAATATTTTGTCCTTCCTTTTGAGCCAGGCCACCTCCTCGATTTGGAAGCCCTGTCCCGTGAGGCCGTTTTCGTCCATGATTTTCTCAATGGCCTGGGTGTTTGCACTCTCCAAATTGAAATTCTCTGTTGGGGTGCGATGCACGACGATGCCGAATCGTGGTTTCACCATTTTCGTATTGTTTCCTAGTTCATTCAACCATTCGGTGTTGTTGCGGGCCAGCTCGGCCGACTCGGTGTCCTTGAAACGAATCACGTAGCCTGTCTTGGTCGTGCCAATCCCGGCGACCTGGGCGTCCTGAGTTGTTGGAGCATTCATCAACGCGGTGCGGATGTGGTTGTTAGCGGAATCTGTGGGAAGGTATCGGCCGAAGGTGTTCCCATCGCTGTTATTGTTGTCCGCTGGATCCACAAATGATCGTTGGGTGCTAATACGAACGCATTTCAGGTCCTTGTCGGGCCGTGAGTCGGTTTGTTGGGGAGGGGCAACGTTGCCGCTGGCCGCAACTGCTGCCCATGTTCTGGACGAAGGTGCTGGTGGGAGTGCTTCGATTTGAGCTCGCATAGCTTTGATTTCCTCGTGAAGCTTCTCATTCTGGTCACGAAGGACATTCTGGTCGTGTTTGACCTCCTCGATCTCGGCCTTAGTGGATTCGATGAGTGCAGTTTGGTGGTGGATGATTAACTTCAGGCTGTCGATGAGCTTCCACACTTCCCTGGTGGTAACCCGGCCTGTGTTTTCCAATGGTGTGAAAGCACCATCGCTCCGTGTTCTTTTACGAGACTCAGGAAGCGGTTCGATCGGTACGCGAGGCTGGAAGTCCTCGACTGAGAAGCTGGTGGGGTTTTCTCCGGTGTTTGTGGGAGGGGGTTCGGGCCCTCCCGTATGTGGGTCCACCATCGGTACGCGGTTAGCTCCCGCTCGGCACACAACCACAAGTAATGTATATCGAAGGTAATGTTAACCACGCCTTAGTATATCAAAAGGTCGCCTCCGCTCTTGTTTTCTTGTTCGGCATATACAGGATCATTTTGCTACAGGGAGGATCGAAATCAGTTTCACCACCCGCACACACAGACAGGCGTTCTTTCCCAGCACCCTACTTAGATCACGCTAGACTATATTCGGCAAGTAAAACCCCCCACAATCATTTGTCGATGTATATCTTGTATATCATCAGAATCACCGTAATTACAGGTTCCGGCTTGAGGCGATAGACACTGACTGGGATTCGAAAACACATTAACCCGCAGACAAAAGCTGTCTTACTACAGCAAAGCTATATGAAAATGCAGAAAAGTTTTAAGCCTTTGAAGTCACAATCATTTAATCCCCAACACCTATTATTCTGGTAGCTGGAGAGAGGTTTTGAATTTAATTATAATCGCAATAAGCATACTGTTCCAAGCGATCGCAAAAAGATCTGACAGCAGCGCGGAACTCCTTGTCTAACATTTGTTTAGCCAATGGTTGTCTTGAGTAGGAGTTCTTGAGGCCATAGCAGAATCCGATCCATGCTACTTTGCCTTGATTGAAGAAGCCTATCATTTCCTCAATAATACCAGAAGACAGAGTGTTGTCAAATTCCCATTTCAAAAGTGCCAACATGACCAAGTCGAAGTCTTCCAAGCGAGGACGAATATTTTTGTATGTAGAAGCATTCATTCGAATGAACTCGCTGTAGGCAACTGGAAAATTGCGGGAACAGCGATCTTGTGATGAGCGCGAGTAACGTAATGTCATCAAAGCAGAGAATATGGCGTTTTCATATAGAATGGGTTCCTTAAATTCGATTAGAGCTCCCGAGTTTTGATTTGCTCAAGATTAGCTGTAAGCTTACCGCCATTTTGCGTTGTGTGCCAGTTCAAAAACCCCAGAAAGAGATTGAATCGTGAGCTATTAGTTCCTGTGCAATCCCTGGAAATGAAGCTATTGCCAGAAAAGATCCCAGATCATAAGCACCTCGATCTCTCGGTGTGAAAGATTGTCTAAAGCTACGAATGACTTTATGCGATCGTGTAATTTCATTCCTTAATTCACCAATAGATCTATCACAAAGCTGGATCTCTTCTGTTTGCCGCAAACCTTCCTTCTCGCAATGATCGCAAAAGTGGAAATGTGACGGAGCACGGTCGCAACACGAGACAGAGTGGGGGAAAAAACAGACGGGTAAATATTCTACCGATCCGAGCCCCGTGACTCGAGTATGAGACATGTCACATGATGTGTATGAGATATCAGAGAAACTACTGTAAACAATCTAATTTGAACGAATCTCATGGTATTCTAGTTGGCTGGGACAGTATATCCAGGAAGAAATTGCTTCGGCTCGTAAATTATCTAGATTTGCTTGGTGTGATAGTGTAGTAGAGGTATCTGTTGATTGTTTACATCTACGGAGTACAATACTTAGAATTGCATATCGAATAGCCATAGGCGTGTTTTTGCTTACCCCAAATCTATTAATACAATTCTTCCCGGGAAACTGTCATCTGAGTATGGATGTATCTGAGTTCAAGAACTACAATGTGTAAGTCAGATTTCTGGGGACTGCAAATGTAGATTAGGCGCTTGGAATCAAAGAGGGTGTATCAGGTCCCTAAGTGGGGCGCTGGGAAAGAACGCCTGTGTGTGCGAGTGGTGAAACTGATTTCGATCCTCCCTGTACTGAATAATTGCCCCTGGCGAGCACGCCAGGTGACTGCTCTAGTCAAGCAGTTAGGACGATGGATTTCTACCTTCTCGTGGTGTCCGGTGTCAGTACCCTTTTACTCTGTGGAGGGGAAGCCAAAAGAATCCGCGTGGGGTGAATAGGGGTCGGGCCGCAGAGTTTTCCGTGGTTGACGAAACCATCCACCCCACGCAAATCAGAGGAAAACGGGTTATGAAAACCATCCGACGACTGCCTACTCGACTCGTACTCGAGACCGAAGCTGGACTTGTTCTCCAGCGGTTGTGGTATCGCCTAGGCAGGAGACAGGACACCTCTGAGCTTGAACACCCTCTGAGATCGCGAGACGCCCTACAAACTTGAACGAGGAAAATATAACGAAGACATCACGCGAAATATGAGACAAACGAATGAAAAACATGAGATGGCGTTAAGCGGCGAGGGGGAATACAACTGGTGGCGCAGCAGGTTGAGCAAGTCGTTCGGGAGCTCCACGGAATGGCCTGGGTCGGAACCTCGTTAAAGCGAAGCTACGGGCAACTCTGACCAGGACAACCCGTGGCCTTTTCCAAGCGGGGTGCACAGTCTGGCGACGACCCTCGACGAACTCGTTAAGGCACAGCCACGGGTGCTCGAGAGGGCTGCAAATCCAGGGACACAAGCTTGGTTAGTGAAGGGCAGCTGGGGTATCCTGCTAGGCCAATGGGGGTACTCTGAGCATCCTTTGCGAGACACGGTCGGCCAGCAGAGAGAGATCTCGGCTGGTAACGCGAAGTAGGGAGACTTCTCCCTGTGGGGCGTGGCACATAATGGCAGTGACGGATGGGTTGAGAGGACCCGACGAGACTGTCTATGTGGCCCGAGAGGACGGACGCGCGTGTCGGTGTGCAAATAGACAGAAACAGCTACCTCACTCGCACTGAGGACCTGAAATCTACCAGCCAAAGTGGTGTCGTCCTAGTGGGGCAAGTCCGACTTGTCCTTACTATCTCACTCGCACTGAGAACCTGCGACTGGACGATGGATGTGATGTCGTTCTAGCTGAAATGCTGATGATGCATGCTTAAGGAGCAAACCTGGAGACACCTGGGGTGAGAGGTTTTTGCCGGGGCCTCAATATCTGGAAGGCGCCCATTGAAAGATGCGCGTGCTGAAAACCAGGGCAGTGGCCCGAACAAGCGGGCCTGGTGAAGCTGCTTTGCATCAGTTTCAAGAACTCGTTAAGGCTTGGCCACGGGCAGTCTTGGCTGTGTAGTTATGTCTCTTGGCCGACACTCACCGAGGAAATCTGTCCTTTTACCTGGGAGGGAAGTCCCCTTCCGACGATCAAAAGTGGACGCCAAACTTAGAGGCAGTACGGGCCTCAATACGATTCGCCATCGCGACAGGTCGACTCGAAGCCACCTAACCATGCCGACGAGCATAAATCACCCTTTTCACTCTCCTTTCACTCTAACCTAACCCACCAACCATCTCGTGATACCCATGGTGGACGCGCTTCAACTGCCGAAGATAGGATGTTGAACACTTGGAGAAGCGCCTTCAAGCCAGTCTACTAACCGCATTACTAACCCACGAGCATCCGCTACGACACTGCATGCCGAGAATGACAAATGCGCCAAGGTCTTGTGTATGGGCTCCAATGAGTCACAGAATTGTATATAATGTGATATGTATAGTAGTTTAGCGATAGTTGCCCTTTCGGCTCAGCCGCCGGGCGTTAATGAATTGTGTGTGTGTGAGGTGCCTTGATGCCCCACAAATTGACGAATCCCCTGCTGCCTGACAAACGGCCCTCTGAAATGATTCGCCATGCCACAGGCAAATCCTATCATGACAATCACTCCCCTCAATGCGTGGAAGGAGTACAGTCCTTCAATTTCATGAACGCGGAAACTTGACTCGTGTGGTATGAGAGTAAGAGTCCCGATTAGACCTCGCCATATTGCTTTTTGGGCCCATGGGCTACCCCCAAGCCTGAAAACGCCCATTCATAGATATAAATACACGATTTATATACAATAAAATGATATTGACTCGTAGATCCACGATTTATTCTATCTTTGTTAGTACAGAAGATGCCCGCGGTTAACATACTTGGAATGAATTTATTCCACCTTGGCTGTTTCAGCTGCTCGGGTTGAGCAGTCATGCAGTTGTCTTGTTGGGCGGAAGCTCGTGGGCAGAAGAAGTATTTTTAGACTTTTCGCTTGTCTTGGCACTTGCATGCTTCTGTTTGGTGTCAAACGTTAAAGCACAGTTGTGCGGATGGATAGTAAAATGAGGCCTGTCGAGATATCTGAATTCGATTCTACTGGTTTAAGCAACACATTCAAATCAAATTCTGGTGGGTGATCGAGAAGATACGTTATTGTCAAGAAACGTTGACCGACTGGAGGACCCAACGTTGACTCAACGACCACACCTCAAAGCACCACAAAATGGCCTGCGGTCAAGTTGGCGTAGCACAAGGGGCATATTATTCGTAAATGAGGTCGCTTGATAGCGTGAAGAGGTCGCGAAAAAGTCGGCGTGGTCGGAAAACACATTCACCGTATGTTCCCTTCAACGGCCGTGCCATTCGGGAGTCTATTGTTGTTCAACAGCAGCAAGATGAGGTCGCTGGTAATGACCTCGACAATCTTTTATCAACACGATCATCATAGAATCAACGTAGCAGTTTTTCCTCCCGGCCTCTTTTTTTTGGTCCCTCAGATTTCACGTCGAATGCCGAGCAGAAGCTACTACGAAGTGTTGTTGTTCAGAGGTATGGATTGAGTTGTTATCTCAGAGTGATACATGTGCCTATATATATAACAATGAGCCAAGTTGATTTCCAATCAACTTGGTCGTCTATATAGACGCTTCGGAGCTAATTCCGACGGTGCGGCTCGATTCCTGATCTGCAACAGCCTCATATCACAACACGAAGAATATACAAATCGACCAAAGAAGGTAGTCGATCCAGGTTCATAGTTGAAGATAGATGTTCAACGATGTCTTCAACATGTATTGGGTCATTGAGTCACCTTGAACGATTCCTGCCACCCTTGCAGTAGCGTTGAACTAACCGTTTGACTCTGGACCGGCTATAAGAGAGAACAGTGCCAGGTAGAATGTATACTCTTGGACGCTAAACACTTGCAAGTGAAAACGATGAATGCCCCAGAACAACTACCGGACCAAGATATGGCAGACCGCCAGCCGAGCGAAATGCCTCTCCAAAGTGATGAGGCCTATCCACAGGCTGTTTCCGATCCTGGGCCCCCAATGGTAAGCTAGGTGCGACAGCACGTTGTAATACTGTGGCTAATCACTACATTCTGTCATAGCAGCAGGAAGCATGCCCAAAGGAGCCCCTGGCGATCGAACAGTTTCAACCCATATTGGAGACACTGGCAGATCTTGATCGCGATGACCCGAAACTCGCCTTTCAAGCGGCTCGAACCGTGGGACTCTATCGACGTCTATGGGCCTCGTGTGTGCCGAAACACCGAGAAGGTGAGAAACCAGACGAAAATGACAAAACTTCGAGGGAAGCTACCACCGAACTGAGCAACGAGCGAGACGGGCTCCAGCATCGTCCCGGTGAGCAGCTATCTCGCCTGTATTCCTTTGAACAGGCTATGGGACAGACCCAAGAGCGACTGATTGGCGTTCTCAAGGACTGGAATCAATGCTCGAGAAGTGATCTGGCTGTGTTGATGGATATCAAAAGGCGCGCGTGAGGGTCTGCCAACGGAAGGGTGCCATGTCGCTTACGACAGTCAACAGATATATCGATCAAAGTCAGAAATCATGAAATTGAAAAATGTGTTATTCAAACTTAGTTTCAACTTTTTGTCTGACTATCTCTTAGAATATTGTGTAAAGTAGACTTTGAATACGTGTTACCATTGAAAAACCTGAGAGAAGCCACCAAGCGCTTTGAATGAAGCCACGCTGCATTCACCTATAGTCTACCGGAAGATTACACAAAATGATGGATCCAGAGATGGCATCATGGGTAGTGTTGCTAACGGGGAAAGGATCGAGTGACCGGAATAAGGCAGAGGTTCCATTCGTGGCCACAAAGACAATCGGAAACATGGGATGTGGCTCCAAAAGCAGCTTGGGAGATCATGTCCAGCATCTGCTCACGCATCCGGTGCAAGTTTCCCATCATGGTTTCAATC